CAGAGATAAGAGGTGGGGGAGAAGGAAGTGGGCGGGGTAAGATGGAAGGGAGGGGAGGAGGCTAAGACTCCCAGGCAACCCAGAGGCTTCAAAGGAAAGAACATGGCTGTGAAGACCTGAGGATGAAGAAATCAGAATATTTCAAACTTGGTACAACAAGCAAGAAAGGAAGGAGTGTGTGTTCTGTGTTCTGGAGATCTTCTCTATTTCTATCTCTGTGTTTGGTTCCACATGGTCCTTTCATAAAAGTTAACCAAGTAATATTCTCCCCAAGAAAAGGATGGTAAGACCTAGGTGAGCATATAGGAGAGGTAGACCATATGCTGACTCTTTCTGAGAAGCAGTATACCCAATACCACGCGCCTGACAGGTTCATTTACTAAGTAGCTCCTGAGCCTGATGACCCCAAATCACCCGTGTCCATGAAATGGCCTCAGCATCAACCAGCTAGTGGGAAGAGAACCTTGTGATAGCAGGTCCACGCTGATTTCCATCTCAAAGCTTTGCACGCTGAGATGCCGGGTGAGATTGGGGGTTGGCTGCCTTGGTCAGCTGGCCAGATGGAAATGTCAGTGTCTTGCTCTCGAGTCATTACTACCTCTCACCCTTCTCTGGAGCCATCATAGAGCTTCCACATCATGGAAGTCACATGGCTTTAGGGGAAACCCAAGCTATTTTGAGAGAGAGATCCTATCCTAACAGAGGACTCTGAGAGGAAAGGTGCACCTAAGTGCCTACCACCATTCAAGCCTCAACTTTCAAAGCTCTTAGACCTGGGGTTTCTTTCAGCCCTGTCTGGTCTTTTTAAGTAAATGGATTAGCAACTGTCTTTTCGGGAACCTTTGCAATTCTAAGTAACAACTTTCTTTTTTTTTTTTTTTTTTTTTTTTTGGTTTTTACGAGACAGGGTTTCTCTGTATTGTTTCAGAGGCTGTCGGTCCAGCCCGGCCTCAAACTCACAGAGATCCGCCTGCCTCTGCCTCCCGAGTGCTGGGATTAAAGGCATGCGCCACCACCACCCGGCTAGTAACAACTTTCTTGAAAGAGCACAGGGGACCCATACTGCTGCCCTTGTTCCTTGACAGATTTACCCCAGAATCCAGTGGTTTATTTAGAGTTTTTACTTTTTCTCCTTCAGCCCTCTAATTTAAGGGAAAGATGGGACCCCATCCTATAATTCACCATAGTATACTCTGAATGGCTCATGTGCAGACCTGTGAATGCCAGCAAATTAAACAACCCTATTTATACTAGTGGTGAGCAGTAGGGAAAACGGCCATCAACTCTCAGCACTCTTCTGCAATACTTATCTGGAGAAAATTGCTTCCCTCCCTTTAGCTATAAAATGCAGAGATTACTGTATTATACATAAGGGTAGAAAAGTGAAAAATTTTCCATCAAAAACCACAAATCAATAAACTGCATGATCCCAGTACTGGAGCTGCAATCGAGCTAAGTCCCGAGGCCCTCTGAAGCATGCTCAGTGTTTCTTTGAGTAAGATTGGGGTCTGACCTCCATTTGCAGGGACGTGGGGGTGAGTCTCACAAATACTAATATTCATTGCTAGGCTCTTCAGAGCAGGACCATTCCCCCGGTCTGTAAATGTTCAATGCGTGGCTGTTTAACTAAGTGGAAGAAAGGTCCACGCTGGACTCTCAGGCTTCCCCAGCAGCCCAAAGGCACCTCTGTGCTACCAAAATGTGCTGCCCGGTGAAGTTTGTTAATTACCTTTTGCCCTCCATTACTTAGCAAACTTTTAGTAGCTAACAGCTCCATACATGGGCAAATCACTGCTAGAAACATTGGCAAACATAACTTGGCTCATTCTTTAAAGAGTTACTGATCTTGGGACTTCATTTTCTGCATATGCTATGGAGTTAGTTCAAACCACAGACATTTAATATAATTGCTGATGGCATTAGGGATGTAACAGGTGTTCACTACAGGTTGCTAAGTGATATATATAGATATAGATATAGATACTGCCCTTTGCAGTCCTCTTAACCTCACCAGAGAGCTGCCCTCACCATTCCATTGCATAAACTAGGAGACCAAGAGCAGCATGAGGGAGGCTGCTCACTCAAAGATATGTAGGTATGAATCACTGGTTCTCAACCTTCTTAATGCTGTGACCCTTTTAAACAGTCCTTCATGTTATGGTGACCCCCAACTATAAAATTATTTCATTGCTGTTTCGTATCTGTTATTGTGTTACTGTTATCAATCATAATGTAAATATTTGATATGTAGGATATCTGATATGTAAACCCAAAGGGGTCATGACCCACAAGTTGGGAATCGCTACTATAAATAAAGGAGTAGGGATCTTGTATGGTAGTTACACTCCAGAGCAATACTTATCCAGAGCAGTGGAAGGCAAGCAACCCCCTAATCCAGCCCCACCACACACAGAGAAACCATTCAGGGCCTGCCTGCTTAATGAAACATCTTATCTGGGGCATGTCCATGAGTCCCAGACAGACCCAGGAAGCCATCTCCTAATTCTCTACCAGTGTATTTCCATTATGAAACTGGAGACATCTTCTACCCTTATGAAGCTGGTCCAGGCCCTTGCTGTGTCTCTAACCAACTTGAGAATATGTCAGAGACACAAGAATAAGACTACTTGAGACATGGGACACTGAGACTCCAGGGGAGAGAATAGCACTGGGTGATGTGGATGGGTAGAAGTCACAGGAATGTGTTTAAAAGTCAGTGCAAAGGAAGGAACTAAGTGGCAGAGTGGACAGGAGCCTTGTTCCTGGCATCCGGCCAATCCACAGGGCACACACAGCAAACAAGCGGTAGGTGAGTGACTGACTGACAGCTGACTTCAAACCTCAGAATATCAGAGATTTGTTTACACTTAGCTAAGAAGGAGCAGGAGTGGCATCACATTTGGATCCTGGAATAAGCCATTCAGATAGTTGGGTAGTTTTGCTATTACCAGAAACGGCGTTTGAAGGATTTTGAAACATACACCGAATGTGAGGCTAACAGAGATTGTGACACTGTGGTGCCATTATAGAACTGGTCCATTCTGCTTTGCATTAGAATTTACGGAAGCAGGAGGTAAGATCTTAGACCTGGGTCTTTGATATTACCTGAGGTCCCTAAGAGTCGCCGTCTTACAACTACACTGTCTTGGTTTTCTGTGTTCAAATGTCAGTGAGCTCCATATATCCACGAAGGGAAGCTCTGAGAGTGGGTGGAAAGGTCAGATGTGACAAGAAGGTATGGTGTTTAACTTGTCCCCTGATTTAGAAGTGATGGCAGTTGGGTAGGTTATAAGAGGCCAGAGAACCTTGGCTCAAGTATTGTTCCTTTCTGCACTGGCCAGGTGACCTAAGACATCTTACTAACACTCAGTGTCCTTTACTTGGCCCATCTGTGAAACTGAGATGACTAGATTGGGAACAAAAGCTAAGTGAAATAGGAGTCCTTGAGAGGGCTCTATAAATGGAGTGACTTTCATACCTCTGAGTGGGTAGGGATGTGAGGCCTCTGCTCAGCATATGTGGCATTTCTTCTGTTGGCTAAGCCTTGGTTCTCCTTGAATGCCCTGCAAATGGGTCCAGAGAGAGAGAGAGAGAGAGAGAGAGAGAGGGAGGGAGGGAGGGAGGGTGGGAGGGAGGGAGGGAGAGAGAGAGAGAGAGAGAGAGAGAGAGAGAGAGAGAGAGAGAGAGAGAGAAAGAGAAAAAGAAAAAGAGAGGAGAGAGAGAAGAGAACTGGACCTGAGGAACCCTCACCTTCTACACCATAAACTCTTTTTGCCCCTCTTTCCATAATGAAACGGTCAGTCTTCCCAATGGCAATCATGGATCATCTGTCATAGAAACACAACAGGGGACACTGGTTTCCTTTGAGAGTCTGAGGACACTTTCCACTCCCTTTGGTTTGTGTCCTGTGGCAGCATGGCCACGTTGAACCTGCGGTGGCCCACAGCTCGTTCTAATAGAGTCCTTGCCCATCTGCAGTGAGCTGTCAAATATTGGCCTGTGTTCATAAGTACAATTAAGAATTCTGTTGTCAAAGGCGGCTGTAAACAGCAAAGTAGGATTTGGATCTGATTACATGAAACAATTTTAAGCAATAAACTTGTGTTGATTTGATTCATGGATTTGCCATTTCAAAAATTCACCATTTTGAAAAAAGACAAATTCCTTTATGAAAACAGCAAGATCCATAAGATGTTTATGATGAAAGTTTTTTAGTGTATTTATTTACTCCCATCTTTAATCTAGGGTAAGACAATAACTTATGTTTTGCTGTATTAAAAGGTCTACAGATGGAAGAACCTCCCTCTCAGTCATGTGACCTTTAAATATTGCCCTTGTGTTCCTCTGTCAGCTAGCACAGTGTGTGTGGTGGGTGGGGATGGGGGTGAGTTGATTGAGAAGGACATACAAAAAATAAAGGCAGAACACAAATCCCTTGAGACCTGACACTGCCCCTGGGTCAGTTAACTCTGCGCCTGCTCTCTATTGTATGTATTGCCCTTCTCCTACAGGAAGGTGGGACTCACATACCTCAGTTGGGTGTGTGTCTAGTACCTAGTCTGGTAAGACAGGTAGGTTAGAAGGAAGAAAGAGGAGGCCTTAGGGCTGAGCAGGAGAAGCCAGCCAGCATAGTCAACAGTGAGGGAGGGAGGGAGGAGTTAGTTTAGTTGGGCATAAAAAGATGAAAGCAACCTTTGAGACATATGGAAGGTTAAGTGGTGGAAAACATAGAATGTGGTAGAAGAAAGAAGCCAGCGTGGACTGAATATCAAGAAGCTGAGAATGAATCAAATTAAGTTCATGGACTGAACCACACTAAAAAATATTTACTGTGTTGAAATTAGTATTGACAGCTAAAGTTGAAATATGTTAGTCATGTGTCTTTTTGACACCAAAACAGCTGGTTTTCTCCTGTTGGAATCCTAGGGCACGCGGTACCTTGTAAATGTCAGAACGATGGATAAGCAGTGTGTGATTCCCCTTTTGCTTTCTCACTGCAGGAAATACCAGAAATGGCCCAACACCCTACGGGTTCCGACTCACGCCAGAAGAAGAAATGAGGAGACAGCGCCTTCACAGATTTGATGGTCAATGACGTGGCACCACGCCTGGGAAGACATGGTCCAGCTGTGTGACTGTAGCCCGATCACTTTACTCCCCAAGCCCCTAGCTGGTTTTAAACAAAAGCAGAACACCCCTCTCTCGTTGCAGAGCACTCGTGTCTGCCATGAACTGTCGCTCCATGGCCCCTGCGTGTCCAGGTTCACATGCCCAGCTGACACATCTGGAAACCAGGCTTGCCCCACGAAGTGCACAGCTTTCACTGAATGTCCTGTCTGGCCCTGTTAACCCTGTGCTCTCTTCTAAACCAAAGGTCACCTCTTCTGTTGGGACCAATTTCCACACTCCCCTCCTTCTCACTGACTCTGGGGCCCATCCACAGTGGGGTTGGAGACTGTGTTTTTCCACTCTCTCTCTCTCTCTGTCCCTGGTCCTCTGGGAGCTCAGCTTGGCAAGAGGTGTGGGGCCACCCCTGGCCCTCCTGGCATATTCCCATGATGACGTGGCTGCCTTCCCAAGATACTCCATCCTCCTTCATGCAGGCCCCTCGGGGTGCCATGTCTGCCTGCTGTTCACAACGACCACTTTGCTCTGCATGTAGAATATCTGACTGAAGGGGAAGAGGAAAGATCTAAGGTAGAGAAGTCACTTGTTAGAGATCACGTGGCACCAGCAGTCTGGGTTCACAGTCACCCGTCCAGGAGCGGGAGACTTGCTTATCGACTCCAAGAAGCAGCGCATACAGAGCAAAGCAGAGATGCACAGTAGATTTCTCACTGGGAATCCCATTTGCAGGAAGTATTTTTTCTTCATAAAAGTGCCTTTTCATTGGCCACTGTGGCTGCTGTATGTCATAAACAAGTGTCCAAAAAAAAAAAAAGAATGCCCCAGGGAACTGCAGTGTTTAATGCATAGGTTGTCCAAGTCACAAGCGTTTCTGTTCTGAGAATAAAAGGACAAAGCCAGAATATGACTACTGAGTCACTGTCATGGAGCATTTAGTTCAGTGGCAGTTAGGAGCAGCCAGTGGTGCTCCTAGTTTAAGTCACCATTCATGTGTAGTTTCTGGTTAAAAAAAGGTGTAGACAGGCTTTCTTATGCACAATGCAAATGTCTACAAAGTATACTAACTGTTGATACAGATTTGCTTTGGAGGGGAGTGCATGGAGCCTGATTTCCTTTGCTTATAGTTTCATACTCTGTCTTTAAAAGTGTGTATTGCTTTCAGAAGGCTGATTTTATATAATAAACCAAGAAACATGTAACCAGTAAAATAGACCTTTAAGAACATTCACAGGCCTGGCATAGTGGCACACACCTTTAATCCCAGCACTCTGGAGTCAGGGGCAGGAAGTTATGTGAGTTCAAAGCCAGTCTGGTTTACATATGAAGTTCTACCAAACAGAACACACACACACACACACACACACACACACACACACACACACACACACACACACACACACACACGTTAAGACTCTGTTTTGGGAGTTCGAGGCCGGGATGGACCGACAGCCTCCAAAACAATACAGAGAAACCCTGTCTCGTAAAAAACAAAAAAAAAAAAGACTGTGCCTTGAAGAAAGAGGAAAGGGTGGGGAGAGGGGACAGTGAAGGAAGGAAGGAAGGAAGGAAGGAAGGAAGGAAGGAAGGAAGGAAGGAAGGAAGGAAGGAAGGAAGGAAGGAAGGAAGGAAAGAAGGAAAGAAGGAAAGAAGGAAAGAAGGAAGGAAGGAAAAAAGGAAGGAAATTCACAGTATATAAATAAGAATACAAACACATGCTCGGCTTTAAAACGAGCTGGTGCCCAGGGTTGACATTTTGAAGCTATTACCGTCTCGGTTTTCTGTTGTATGCATTTGACACATCTGGTGCATGCCAACTGTGCAGCTCCATGTCTAGTTGTTAATAGGAATCCACCTGGAATGTCTTTGACACTTGCATATAAATGGGTGAAGCAAATCCGTGAAGTCTGAGAGCATTTAGGCAGGCTATCCAGACAGTGGGGCCTGAGCACCTCGGTTTAATTTGTAATTGGTGTAAAGTCACAGCTAGTTGGTGTTAAGAATTATACCCATGAGCCTGGTACCTTTAAACACATTTATGTTAGAATGGTCAGGGCTGAAGAGATAGCTCAGTGGATAAGAGCACTGACTGCTCTTCCAGAGGACCTGGGTTCAATTCCTACACCCACATGGCAGCTCACAACTGTCTGTATGTAACTCCAGTTCCAGGAGAATCTGACACCTTCACAATAATGCACATTAAATAAATTTAAATAGGTTATTTTTAAAAATAATTAAATTAGAATGATCAAGCTCTATTATTCCTGTCTCTCAAATGATGCATTTGCCTTCACCACAGTGAGAAATAACCAACTCCCTACATAATGTCTTTTGATAGCACCTGGAGATTCTCCCCTAACACTCCTGTCTCACTCTGCTTAGTCATGTTTGTGTGTGGTATGGTTCTGGATGAGCCGAGGACAAGGCCTATTATAGATCATCCCACGCCTTCCTCCTCTTCTCCCTCTCTCTCCACTTATAGGCTAACTGAATGTTATTTTTCCGCCACTAAAGTTCATTTTCAATTGTATTGGAACTCCACCAGCTTGTATATGAAAATATTTTACTTTTTATGTAGCTTGAGTTCAATAATAGCACCTGTTTATTTTACTCTTTGGACACAAAGACACTGGAATCCCAATTTTTAGATGGTATAGTTATAATATACATTTTTTCTTAATTTATGCAGTGGAATGTCACCAAATGTTTATTACAGATGTGGGAAAAGTCATTTTAGTTATAGGTGAAAAACAATTATCTTTCAGAATAAAGATGTTTTGGAAATATAGTTGTTATGTATGGGTTTATACATAACCAGCAGTTATTGTTTTCTTGTCTGGAATTTTTTTATTGTGTGTTTGTTGTTACACTTTTTGTTTGTTTTTGCCCCATCCACAATAAGGAATGCTCAGAGTTACATTGACAACCTGGAAGTGGACTAAGAAAGACTAGCAGAAGATAATTGCCTGTAATAGGGAGGTAATTAGCACCAAAAGCTGATTTTTTTAATTTGGCTCCTTTATTAATAATCTTCTTATTGTCCTGTACCCAGTTGGTGTGTTCAGTGAGCTTAACAGACCTCTAAATTCAGAATCTTTTCCTACTTCTCAAGAGGAAGGACGAGTTGAAATTGCTTCCTCTTGATGGCTTTAGGTATGTGTTGCCTATGATTTGCAAAGTTGCCCATAATCATGCCTGACAATAAGACTGGAGCCAAACAGCAAAGTAACTGGATTTGATGGCATTTGACCAGGGGAGCTGGTGACAGAAATGACCGGAGGTGACCCTGCCACAGAGAGTGAACCTCCCTTGGGAGTTTGAGTTCAGGAAAGAAATGTATTCTATTACTCATAAGTATATCGTTTCTTCTATCCATTCCCTTGGATCACTGCAGCAATTTTTTTTAACCTAATTCCTACTCCCTGCTCCCCCAACTTTTTTTTTCTCCTCCCACATTTTAGAATCATAGGTTCTCAGCTCTGAAGGACCTTGAAGCCTCTGGCTTCATCGCTTTGCTCAATACTTAAAATACCTCTTCACTCAACTCTACATACTGTTGCCAGTTGGGCTTCCAAAAGCCATCTTAGCAATACCACTCATCATCTCAAATATCTTTTATTGTTTGTCTGTTGACAAACGGTAAAGGTCAGAGCTATTAACCTCAACAACTGGACTCCCAGCCTCTTTGGACCTCAGCCCATTCCTTCTTAACAGCCGGCTCACTGGCCTTACCATCCAAGCTGCGAATGCTTATGATACTGGAACCTTTTCAGGGTTGTATAAGGAATGGCATCTCCTCTCAGTCCTTTAGGTCTTCCTCATCCTGTCCCCAAGTTGAGACCTTTCCTAGAGACCACGGCTCACATCACAGATCTGCTGTTTTGGTTTGGTCTGCATCTCTTGGTGTCCACGTGTCACTTAGCAATGCTGACTGTGCCATGAGAGTACTCTTCCTTCCCAGGATAGGAACTGGGAGAACATAATCACATTTCTCTTGCCTCTCCTCGCCATGCCTTCAGCATTATTTTGAAATGTTGGAACCAATAAATACAAGGATTGACGTGGAAAGAGGTTCATTATGATAGGTGGTAAACCAAAGCATGGGGGTGGGGGTGCAGGTGCCCAGAGAAACCAGAAGAGGGCATTGGGTCCCCTGAAACTGAGCTGACCAACAAGGGTGCTGTGAACCAAATTCCAGTTCTCTAAGTTAGCAACCACTATCTTTAACTACTGAGCCATTTCTCCAGGCCCCAATACCATCACATTATTTTTTGACACTAGTTCTTTCACTGAACCAGGCCCTGGTGGGCTAGATTGTCTAGCCAGAGAGTGCAGAGATCCACCTGACTCCACCCCCTCTCTGTACTAGGTCGAGATGAAAAGGGCCACTCCCACTTCAAGCTTGATTGCACAAGGTGTTGGAATCCAAACTCAGATCTTCATTTTTGTGCTGCAGGTAGTTTACCAACTGAGCCATGTCCTCTGTCGTTATGCATTCCAAAGCAAACTGGCTTTTCTGAGATGAGAGTCACACTTGATCACCCATCTTAAATATCCCCTATTTTTAACAAATAGTTATGCCAAGAATACCCATATCCAGCAGTGCACACTCTTATGGTTCGGATATGAAGTGTCCCTTGTGTTCACCCTGTCCCCCTTCAGGCAGACATGATGAAATCTTACCATGCTGCTGAGAAGTGATGGAGCCTAGCTGGAGTAAGCCAGTGCAGATGCTTGCTTGGGGCTGTATGCTGATCTGGGCCACTCTTGGTCTCACTCAGTCCATTTCCTAGCCACCGTGAGGTAAGCAACCTCTGATGCATGCTCCCACAGCTTGCAACTCCTCTACATACTTCAGTGAATCCAGCAAAGCTTGAACTGATGTTGAGACAAATAAACTCTAGTTCTAAATTGTTCCTCTCAAGCATTTGATACAGCGATGAAAATCTCACTAGCACAGGAAGGCTACAAGTCACAGTATCTTACAATTATATCTCTACAGTTGGTCTTCACACCTTCAGCCCTTCAAATAACCTTGGGAGTAGGCAGTCTCATCTTGCTTAACATGACAACTAAGGCCTGTAGAGAGCTGAGACTCATACTGCCCATCCGTGATGGATTCGACCCTTTTGCCTGATGCCTGATTTTATTTCTTTTCTCCACCCAACAATGAATAGAGAATTATGCTTCATGGAGGCTCGGAGTCTCACTCTTCCCGGCCTTGGCTTTCTTTCCGCCAATGCCCTTATTTTCCCTACTCATCCAGTTTCAAGGTTAGCTCAGTCAGTAAGTGCTAAAAGAAGCCAGACATGCTTGTAATCCCAGGACATAAAAACAGGTGAGTACTTGGAGTTCTCTGGCCAACTACCTAGTGTACTTGGGGAATTTCAGGTCAATGAAGATGCTATTCCCAAAAAATAAGATGATAGCACCTGATGAGCAACCATTTAGGGCCTCTAGGCTACATGCACACAACACACACACACACACAGACAGCTTCATACATACATGCATCTGCATAAAATAACATCTACATATAAAAGGAAACCCACTTTGGCTTAAAAGAAAGTACATTATAAAAACAGTGGTTGTGGAAGCCATCACACATTTTTATATATGATGAACCTTATCATAAATGACAATACAGCAAATATTTGTGTGTCAGTAGTAGATCAGGCATCTTGCAAAAGGTGCATGATCAATTTTTTTTTACGTTAAAACCATAGGTTAGAGGAAGGGATGCAGTTTCTCAGACATCTTTCACATTTTCCCAATGAATCATTAAATATTTAAGCACCATAAAATTCAAGCATTTCACATGGATGTGTCAGCTAGACACCCTGGTTTAAAATGCATTATGCAGAATTTCTTGGGGATAATAGTGACAATTGTAGAATGATGATTTTTTAATGTCAATTGTTTGTTCCCTGCAGACCTTACTCATAATGTCCCGGCAGGAAATTATGATACTTTTTGTGGTACAATAACTCTGAGAATTGAAATAAAGAACCATTCCCAAATACGTTAAGAACTGGCTAGGTATGAATATTTCTAATCAGTAATTTATATGCCCTGTGAGAATCGACATGTAATTTTGTTGTGGGGAGGAGGAAGACAAGAAATAGTTTTCATATTAAATACCTTATTTTAAAGAGAAGATGTGACCATAACTGGTGTGTAGTGATTGCTATTTATGCTCTAGGTAGGTAAGAATCCAACTCTAATTTTCAACATGAGTGTAATGTCCTCCCTTATAAATGAGGGGGAAATTTAGCTGAAGTCTCCCATGGCAACACATCTGAGAAGGGACACATTTGGATTGAAATCTAGGTCCAACCCATTCAGAAGTCCTCCTTTTCCCCCCATTCTTGTAGCCATAGCAAGTAAAAGAGACAACTGTTAAACTATTCCAGTGGCCTGGTAGACCCCTGATCACAGAGAAGAATGGTCTGCTTTGTGGTTACCTGCACGAAGTGCAAGAGAAACTCTCTGATGAAGTTCAAGTCTCACAGGCCATTCTGCTGACTTCCTAAGCACTCAAAACGTACGTGGGCTTTGTAGAGGCGACTTGGGGCCAAGAATGGTGAGGAAATACAGACTGTAGCACGAGTCATCTAATTTCAGCGAAGGTTCTTCTTCCTGCCAAATCTTGGAGCAAATCTCCTTTCTCCTTCGGTTCATAGAGAAGTAATTAATTGTGAAGAGGGGTCAGTGCTGGTTGACTGGCGTTAATGGTGATAATTGTACTAAGAGCTTGTGGATGTGTGGGTATGGTTAACGGTCTGATATTCCAAAGTAAGAAAGACTTATTATGCTGGGCACCCTTTTACCAGTGAGATCTTATATGCAGAGCTGAACATCAAAGGCTTAATAAGGCAGAGGAAATGGTCACTGGATGATGGAATAGACACGTTCATGTGCTAACACCGGATATCCAAAGACTGGCAAAACATGGCCCCTGCCCCACAAGGGCTTCAGTTTTTAACCAGTGAATGAAAGAAGTGTGCTGAGAGATTAAAGAATGGAGATGGAGAGCAGACGCACCCCCCCCAAGTCTCTTTGGGAAGTTCATATGCCTACCACTAATCTATTGTGCTAGGATAAACTTGTGTCTACCAAACCAATGGACCCAAGAGAGGACATTGATGGTAGAAAGAGGAGCCAAAGACACAAAGGTATGTGAGCATTTACAGAGCTGTATGCAGCTTATGCTGACAAGAGACACAGACATAAGCCTCCACTTTACAATGGACCTTTCACCCTGTGTGAAGTCATTTGGATTTCACAGGCAGTGTGGTCATTGTGGGTTTTAAGCCAAAAGATAACAAAACCTAATTTGGATGGAACTTAGAGGATGACTGGGCTTCCAAATGAGAAAGTTCCTGTGAGAGCCTAGGTGGAAAGCTATGTGAGATGCAGGAAGCATGGAGGAGGGATAGCAGCTCCCACAAAAGTGGGGGTGTGAGTTTCAGCCTGGGGAACACACCACATGCTGGACACCTGCCTGATGGATGGGTTCCACTTACCAAGATTGAGGACCCAGAAGGAAGCACCCAGTCCAGGCTGTAGTACAAGGCCTCCAAGTAATTCCCGTTAGGGACCTAGGCACATTCCAGCCAGTCAAGGGTGGAGGTTTTGAAAAGGAGGCTTAGATAAAACCATCAAAGTAATGAGTTAGGATCACTACAAAACTTTGTTTTGTCCCCACTGAGCAAGGCTGTTCCAAAAACATTGATATATAGCCAGGTGGAAAGAGAAACAATAACTTGAAAATAACATGTTCTTCTGCCCCAAGAATGTTTTTCCTATTGTTTTGCCCTTCTGAACCATTTCAAAATACATTTCTGATCCATGTCATATTCAGAGGGAGGCCATGGGATCTACACTTTTAACTGTTTCGTGCCTGCTATCTCAGGGAGCTAAACTGCCCTCCTGATTCAGCCAGTCCTAATTTATTTATGAAGTGTGTTAATATCCTAACCACAAAGTTAAAGGGTTTGATGTTTTGTAGCAAGCAATGGCAACCTGTACTCATCTGTTCCCCTCACCGTTTCCTGGGACATGTTCTCAGACCAAGTTTGTCATGAGCTTTCAGGAGGTCTGGTTTGGGGTGATAGATGAGGATTCTGGAAATATAATCATAATGCAAGTAAAGATGAAGTGAGCTTCAATTTCAGACACTCAAAATATTCAACATGGTTAGCGTGAACTCAAAACCAAATGGATCAATAGGAAATATTCTGCTACATTAAGAAAATATTTCATGTTAAAATAGAGACATTCAGTCCTGGTTACATAGTGAGTTCCAGACTAGGCTGAAGCAATACCTTCAAAACAAAAAATTGTGTTTCTTAAAAAAATCTAACTCCTAGCACTTTGGAGGCTCCAGGCAATTGCCAATTTTGAAGCCAGTATTGGGTTATATTCTGGGCCAAGTTAAACTACAGGCTAAGACACTAGCTTAAAAACTAAAAAATAAAATAGATATTTTTGACCAGAAAGTTCTCTTAAACTGCCATCCCACAGGCAGCCTACAGCAAAATAATAATAATAATAAAATGAAAATAAAAATAAATTTAAAACAAATGCTAAATGCATTCTGTATAAAGGAGTTCATCGCTGACCAAAGGATGACAAAGCAAACGTGTCTTAGAAATGTTTTTGAATTTACTTTTGTTTTTAAGTATACATGCCTGTGGATGGGTATTTATATGTGTACAGGCATGCGTGCCCATGGAGGCCAGAAGAGGACCTGGAGTTAATGGTGACTATGAGCCACCTGACTGGGTGCTAGGAACCTAGGAACAGAATTCAGATCTTCTGCAGGAACAGTGAGTGCTCTTAACTACCCAGCCATTGCTCCAGTCCCAGAAACAAAATTTTAATTGAGTTTTTCTTTCAATTATCCTTGAGTGCACTGAAAGGTAAGCTCTGGCATGAGTGTCGCTCTCAGGGGAACATCCTTTCTTTCTATTATAATGACAGTTTTACTTTAGCTGAGGAAGGTGAGTTTCAAAAAAAAAAAAAGAGTCTTTTCTAGCAAAGCTTTCAATTGGTGATTTGTAGGGAGCCCTGGCTGAGTAGCCAGCAGACCTTTTGGTATGCAGAAAAATCACTGCAAATTGACATGGATCCTAACCGTGTTCACGAGCTGCTAAGGTCCAGTGTCAAACAGCTGTCCTGCCATGATGCTAATGCAATATAAAGAATGTTTGAAAATTGGCAAGACGGATGCTCACATTAAAAAAAAAATCACATGGACACAAAATTCAGATTGGGCATCATCTTTGTTTCTGTTCTAGAGAGCCCCCTGCCTTCCTGGTGAGGTGACCCTGATGTAAATGAATCTTCTTACCTAAGTTTAATTAAGTCAGCCCTTAATTTTCTCCCAAGTGCATAATGATAGCCCTGTCGTTTCAGGAGTCAGTTGCCATTATGCACGTGGAGGCTGTGCTTTGCAGGCTCTCCTGCGGAGGAGAGCAAGAGGCTTTGTACCAGCCTTTGGATTGCCCAGTAAGCCCCATGTGGCTTCTGTCCCATTAGCAGGAGGACACGCTGGCCCCCAACTGGGGAAAAGTGGTCTGTTTGCAGGTTCCCTGGGACAGGGAGTCAATTTTTGTGAATCAGTACCTTAATATTCATTAATAGCTTTTAGGCCCCTAATCCCTTATTGAATATATTTTTCCTATAATTGCTACTTTTCAAAAGGGTTGCCAAAGTAGGCATTTCCATTCTCTGTAAAATGCAGGAGAGAACGAAATGTTTTATATTCATCGGTGAAGTGTTTATGTTAATGTCGAGACCCTGGAATACAGGACTGCAGGCCTTCCTGGCAAAATGACCCTGCCAATACTGGCAGTGAGGAGAGGCTGTTTTCCTTTTCTTCCTCCTTTTCAAAAACCTCTTTGGGCCATGGTCCCACAATTATTTATAGCGCGTAGTTTAAAAAAATAGATTATAGAGGAAATCATTTTGAAACATTGGAACTCTCTCCTTCATAGCTTCATTTGTCGGCCTATTTATATTGTTCCTGTAAAAATCTAACCAGAAGTCCAATGGGTTCAGTTGTTTGAGACGCTGTCAACCAATGAATGGAGTTTTCAGGCATTTATAATCTTGCTTTTCGGGGAATTAACACATGTTTAAATAAAGCCTGTTCTTCCATCATCTCAATAAAGGGAGAATGTGTGGGTTTCATCTAGATTGGCAGGAGCCAAAGAAATGCACGTGTGCAGCCTTTGCTTGATCTGTCTCTAGGAAAAGGACTCCCGCGGTAACCACGCTGAGGCAAGGCATGGCGGGACTGAGAGACGGGAGAGTGCACCACCGAATGTTGGGGAATCTTTTCCTCTTTGAGATGTATTGATGCCTGTGGGCATGTTTTGGATGCTCTAGCCATACTTCATGCAGACCTGGCACCTGCTGATTTTCTGGCGCTGGGCCTGCACGTCTTTCAAGGTGTCGGGTGATGGGCCAGAGGAAAACTGCAGATCTGGGTTCACCGTGGTCAGCCAGAAGCTGTATTCATTTGCAAAAAAGTGACAGGTTCCCTGCCGGCCTTGGCATTCAAGGAACGGTGCAGCCCTGAAGTCCTCTAGGCAGCTGCCAGGCGACATGAGCGCCTGCCCTCCTCCTTGGTCCCCAGCTCCAGTGTGCTACCCAGACAAAAATGAAGAATTAAGGCTCAGCCACTCCAGACCACCCAGACAATCAGTGACCTACCCAGGCCTAGGCTTGCTTTAACAGTTCTTCCTTAAGTCACTCCATAAAGAACAACTTAAGTGTGCTGAGGAGCAAGTAGGAGCTGTTTGGGGTGTCTCTGCAAAATGAAACCAGTGTCATCTATGACTGAAGTAAATCTCTCTTCTACGAAACTAACCAAGGAATAATTGATAAGAAAGAAAATATAAAGGACTCAGGCATTATGCTGGCCAACCCGGTCACCTGGCAGAATACACTCAGGCAGTGCTCTGGTCAGCCCAGGGTTCCATGGAGCCTGCACTCAGGTGCAAAGGACCCCTTTACAGAAAAGACCCCCTCCAACTCATACTCTCTTTCTGCTCTCTCCACTCTCTCTTTTTGCTCTCTTTCCCGCTCTTCTTTTCCCAGTTTCTTTTCCGCTTTTGCCCTGGGGCAGACAGAACTTTTCCTTCCTGTCTTCCTCTTCTCTTTTGTCCTCTCTCTGTCTCTGTGTCGCTTTCCTCTCTTCTCTTTCCTCCCCCTTCCATCCTTCTCATAAAACTTCTCACTTAGGCTCTGTTTGCCTGGCATGTTTGTCACCCTCGCCTGCCATGAAATCCACCAAGGTCCCTCACGCAAGGTCCCCCAAGCAAGGTTCCTCAAGCTTTATCATAACAACAATAATGATGGCCCCATGTCTCAGCAGGCTGTAGTCTGCACTGGCCTGGCTGACCTTGGGTCCTCTGGTGGCTACAGAGTACACAGAACCACTATCTAGACAGGAATAAGGCTCAAGGGTAGGATTCTCACCATCAGAAATGAGTACCCAATCCAGAGGCTCCTCCATGCCCGTGGACACGGTGGGATGGATTGGTCCTGACTGTGGACAGCCACTGCCTGGGCTGGGGCCTCGCACACAGCACAGCGGCTGATGTAAGGGCGGATCTCTTCCTCCAAGAGTGGCATCATGGGAAGGGGAGCCCCGGTGGACAGCCAGTAGGACCTGTCATTTCTCTGGGCGTAGTGACACACTTGGTGGATGTTGCAGTAGGCAAAGGGCAGTGTGCTGAACACCGGAAGACAAGACCCTGCCAAACCTTGGAAAGAAGAAAATGCACAGTATATGAGCATCCAGTTGTGTGCAGGCAGTGAGTCCCACATGTGGCATTTATAGACACCAGCTACAACCTATGGAGAACCATGCCAGAACCTATTGCCACTTTGGCCATCTCCCTGATCTGTGGACCAGCCTCCATCCACTCATCCCTGTCTTTGGAGATCACCAACCCACCAAGGGCTAGAGATGAGCACAGACACATCTATCTTCTCAATACAAATGAGCAAACAAGGTAACAGATGAGCCAGAGAAGCTCTGTGGGTGAGAAGTGTGGATTTCCCAAAACTCCCAGAAGAATGACTAGAACTTTATTCTAAGCTGGGATACCCAATATGAAAAGTTGGGTCTTGGAGATAGTGGTAAACATTCAAAGGAGAAGATGCTGAGATGGAGAGGGCCAGAGGTACAGAGTGCTGGACTCAGAGCTCAGTGGAGGCTTGTGGGAGCCAGGGAGAATGCATCTGCATGACTTCATCTCTGGGTTTCTAGAAATAATTCAGACCGTAGGATATGGGCTTTGGCAGTCTTGTTAAGGGGCTTGGATTTTGCCCAGGGGTGCTTCGGCTCCACCAGGGCAAGAGAAGGACCCAGTATTAGAAAGAAGAGAAAGCAGGTTCAAAAAGATAAGCATTCCCCCATCTTTCCCTTGTCCTTGAAGAACCTAGGCATCCAAGGAAGGAAATGATGTGGCAGTACCAAGAGGAAAATAAAGATGGCCATCTGAACAGTTGCCACCCATAGGCCTGCCACGGGTGAAGGCGGTAAGACTCACTTGTCAACTGTCCCTACTGTTACACACTTCCTGCATCCATCATCCCTGCCACTGTCACCATATGCCTTGACATTGGGTCCTGCTGCCTATAAATCTGCTGTTGGAAGATGGGAAGGAGCATGGAGGGCTGATGCTCAAAGTCCTGTGATTCCCCAAATGAAACAGAACAGGCCTGAGAGTTGGCACTGGCCAATGAGATAGCATGTACCCAGCAAGTTCTGCTTTCAACCAATCCATACATAAACACGGGATCTCAGTATGCCCAATTAAATAATTTACATTTAGTACCAAAGGGTTGTACTCCATAACAAGGTTACATTTATCCTATTGCAGGAGAATACTGAAAAATTAAAAAAAAAAAACAATCAAGGCCTTTGTCTGTGGTGACCTGTAACTGTGGTGACCTGTGCCTGTGGTGGGTCCACATCTTTAATTCAGCACTTAGGAAGCAGAGACAGGTGGGTACTGGTGAGTTTGAGGCCAGCCTGATCTACACAGTTCCAGGTCAACCAGGGATACATAGTGAAACCATGTGTCCAAAAAAGAAAAATATGAGTAATAAGTAGGCAGATAATAACCAATCACCAGAATGAGACTTCGCACTATCTAACAGGATCATGGGAATTAGCATGAGAGGTTTGTTTTGTTACAAATATTGATGCCATGGGAGTCAGTGGCTAAGACACTGATGAATCTGTGAGGTGAACCCCAGGGTTTGCTCTCTGAGCCATCGTGTGCATGGCCCTGTATAGCACGTGGCACCACCTGACTGCGTATCCATACCAAGGTCTTGATCGTGTGCCTTCTCCTGTCCTTCCATGTATAACAGGCTGTATCCGGTCCAAAGCCGGGGCATACCCACAGGGCAAGCGGGTTCTTGATCTGTCTGACTGTGGAGAACAAGGAGGAAGCCACTGAGGTATCCAGGGCCAAACCCCTTGGGCCCAGGATCACCAGTTGGACCAGGAGGGCCTGCAGAGAGAGAAAAAAACAAAGCCTACAATTTAGGGCATTCCATTTAGTAAGCATTTTTAGTATCTCTGTTTCAGTGTCGTGCTCAGCATCAGGGAACAGAGGGAAGTAGAACACAGTTGCCTCTCGGGACTGCACCCCTAGCCTGTCCATAGGACACAAGAACACAACACCTCTGTGTGGAGGAGGAGTTGTCTTAGAAACCCCTCCCCAATGGTTACTAAGGATAAAAGCATGTCCTGAGTGACTGGGATATATTGTATAAAACAGAAAACAGGAACATCCCTCTCAAGACTTGCAGAGCTGGTATCCAAGGCAAATCTATTTCTACCTGCACTTTAGAAGCAAGAGTCAAGACTGTGACCTCAGAGAACAGGGAAGAAACGGAAACTCTACCTGGAGCTCCAGGGCAGCCAGCCTCTCCAGTGTCACCTGTGTGTCCTGGAGGCCCAGGAGATCCAGGGATGCCATCCTGGCCCCGCCTGCCATCCAGCCCAGGCTTTCCTTTGCACCCTGTGGGAAAGTTCATGATAATGGTAGTGAAAACGACAGCATGTACATCCCATGAACTGACTCTGGGCTACCTTCCCACATTGATGACATTGAACCTACCCATGGGTTGGCCCAAGTCCAGAGAATTCACATTTCTGGCAAGTTCCCACATGGTGCTGATGCTGCTGGTAGTGGGGACCAAATTTTGCTAACTACTACTCTAGACTTTGATGTTTACAACGCATATCTGACAATTAACTTGATGGCGTATTTTGAAAACTCCATGTTTCTGCCTATTTGATGTTTCTCCCTCTCCTTTTTAAAATTTTTGTTCTTCTTTCTGCCTACCATTTTTTCTATAAACTAATTTTATTTAAAGTCTTACACCCACGCCTGTGTGTGTGTGCCTGCATGCACATACATGCATGCATGTGTGTGTGCATGTTAGTGTTCTTGAGTACGTACATGCATATTCAGGTTTCCACAGAAGAATGCATGGATCCCTCAGAGATGGAGTTAAATGTGTAGGTGAGTTGCCCAATGTGGATTCTGGGATCATAACCCTGATCCTCATAACTGAGCATTGAGCACTCTTTACTGTTCAACACTGACATTTTTTTATTTTATTTAAATTAGAAACATGCTTGTTTCACATGTCAATCCCAGATCCCTCTCCCACCCCTCCTCCCTTGGCCCTCCATCAATCCACCCCCCCCCCAGCCTACCACCCAATCACCACACCATTTCCCAGGGGGGATCTCCAGAGTCTGTCATTTCATCCAGGGCAGGACCTAGGTCCTCCTGTGTCCAGGCTGAGAGATCATCCCTCCATGTGGAATGGGCTCCCAAAGTTCATTCGTATACCATGGTAAACACTGATCTACTACCCAAGGCCCCAGAGATTTGCTGAGGCTTCCTCACTGACACTACATTCAGGGGGTCTGGATCAGTCCCATACTGGCCTCTAAGCCATCACTCTGGGGTCCAAGAGCTCCCCCTTGTTAGGTCAGCTGTCTTTGTGGGTTTCACCAGCACGGTCTTGATCCCTTTGCTCATCACTCCTCCCTCTCTGTCCTGGATCCCAGGAGTTCAGTTCAGTATTTAGCTGTGGGTATCTGCCTCTGCTTCGGTCAGTCACTGGATGAAGGTTCTAGGCATCGAGCACTCTTAACCATTGAATCATCTCTCCAGTTCCCTCCTGCCAACCCTTAACACAAGAAATGGCACTCAAGGAGTTTATATTAAGGAAACAATGCCTACAGTAACTATAGCAAACAGATTTACTGCTCATTCTGTCACTTCATGATGTCAGACCATCAATGACAGTTAACCTGTAGGTGTCCTAATCAGCCTCTTTGACATGAGGAACCTGAGAGTAATTATAGTCAAGTTTTAGAGTGTCCCTTCCTAACCATCACACTTCCTCTCTGGTATAATCAGAGATGCTTAATTATAAAATAGTCATCACCCAGACAGACATGCTTTAGGAGTTGCTTATCAGAGTGAAAAGGTGAGACCACCTTAAATGCACTTAAAGTGACCCAGTACAGTAGCAGCACTCATAACTCTTAGAAAAATGAATCTCGAAGCCCTCTTCACACTTGACAAGCTAGGAAGTCTAGGCTGGGCCCAGCAATGTGTGTTTTAAAAAGATCTCCAGGAAGGAGGGGTGAAGGAGGGGATTCAGAAGGTCTATAAGGCTTGAAATTCCAGACGTTAGATGCCCCTCACCCCTCTCTCTATCTCCAGATAAGTACAGTTACCACTGCTAGCCTTCAAGACATCGGATTCTATTGTCAGTACCTTCTCTTTTCCTTTTCTGTTGCTTCAAGGGCAGGACCTTGTTGGATTCATTTATTTCATGCAGAATGTTGGCACCAAAACAATCGATAAATAATTCATGAAAGTGGTGGTTAAATGAATTATGGCACAATCAAATAATGCAATATTCTGCAGCCGCCACAGACAATATTGTTGGAAAATATGTAATGACACAGAACTAATGGCATGTTAAGAACAGCAGTTTGCAAAACAGTGTGGTAAGATGGACTCTTTAAAAACATGTGCCGAAACACGAGTGGACAGATATACAGCCAGCTGTGCTTTTAAAAACTGTGTTCACTTTCTTTGTTTTTCTTTTTGTTTAAATTCCTATAATGTTTTATGTGGGGGGGTGTTAAGGTATATCTGTATTTGTGTTCACCTACACTTGTGTGTATGTGTGTATGTGTGTGTGTGTGTGTGTGTGTGTGTGTGTGTGTAAGTGTATGTAGAAACCAGAGGTTGGAGTCAGGTGTCTTCCTCAATCACCCTCTATGTTGTTTTTAGTCTCACAGAACCTGATGCTCACAGACTTATCTAGCCTGGCCATGTAGTAAGCCCCGGAGTTCCTACTGTGTCTACCTACCAAGCCCTGGGACTATAGGCATACTGACTGCGCCAACTCTTTGACTTTGAGTCTTGGGGCCTGGAATTCAGTCCTAATGCTAATACACAAAGTACTTCACCAAGCCAATGGGATTGCAGCTCATACTTTTCATCACAGCACTCCAGGGGCAGAGACAAATGGATCCCTGAGTTCAAGGCCACCCTGGTCTACAAAGAGAGTTCCAGGGCAGCCAGAGCTACACAGAGAAGCTTTGTTTCAAAAAAAAAGGAAGGAAGGAAGGAAGGAAAGAAGGAAGGAAGGAAGGAAGGAAGGAAGGAAGGAAGGAAGGAGAGAGGGAGGGAAGAAGAGGAGGGAGGAAGGAAAGAAGAAAACCAAATCATCTCCCCAACCCCACAATGAAGTTTGGGATCTTTGTTTGTTTCTTAGCTTCTCTTTAGGCTCAAGCTACTACCACTTACTTCTCCCTCACAAACAGGTCTCAGTGCCAAGTGTCTACCAGGGGCCATGTGTCAACATCTGGAAGCATTTCTGGCCATCACAAAATAGGGGTCCAGTATTCTTCATGTCTAGTAACACCCCATAGTGAGTGGCCCTTTGCAGAACAGATTGCCTGGCTCCACAGTCAACAGCACTAGGGTTAGAAAGGCAGCCTTACACTACAGCTTGTACTCAGGGCATCATGTATTACTTCAAGTGTTTAGCAGACATCTCCCATAACCCAGAACCCTGTGGAGACCCACCAATGAGCAATGAGAATCCTGCTCGCAGGCTGCTGTCATCTGTAGGGTGGTAGGAAAACAAGTGACACAGATTCCATTCTCCTTCCACATCCTTTGGCACTGCACTTGAAATAACAGCCAGGCAGTGGAGGAAGTAAGAGAGGGGCCTCCCTTCTGATGTTCTGCACACAGATGCTGAACTCAAAGGCATTACAACTGGTCTGTGCTATCCAGACGCCCAGCACTCCCTAGCTCAGCATCAATTACCCAGTGTGGGCAGGATGTACAAGAAGATAGTAAGCTACGTGGAGAACACTTTTTGCCAGTACAGTTTGGTCTGTGTGCTAACCAGGGTCCTCCCACCCTGACAGTGACTGACCAGTGCTCATCAGGTCCATTCCAGGAACAATGCACCCGTTGCCAAAATTGAGAACCACTTGCCCTCTTCCCATTCTCCATCTTCTAAGTGGTTCCTGTCCTCCTGTCTTCTCACAAGCTGTTTCTGCTCCACTGGTTTCCAATTCAACCATTTTTGTCTGGTGTTGGTTGTTTCTTTTATTGTTTTCTTAATTTTTGTTTTTATTACTGTTCAAAGTCAAGCCACCTACTCTGATGTGCTATGGGATTTCCAAACACACCCTCCAAGAGCTGGGCAAATCTAAAGGTTTAAATAGGAGTTCAACAGAAGAGAAAGGATGTTTGAATCTAGAATACGATTCCCTTTGTGCTCACACACACACACACACACACACACACACACACACACATACAAAATGTAAAAGATGAATGTTTTCACAGATTCACCACCATGATTTAGATTCCTCTTGAAAAACAGTATCACGAAAAACATAGATGTTTATTTCAACAGTGAACTCAGAGATGCTCATACCTGGTCCAGGGGGGCCTTTCTGTCCAGGGAGCCCCACAGTTCCTTCTGGTCCCCTGGGGCCTGGCACTCCAGGAAGTCCTGGAATCCGAGGACAGGAATCCACATCCACAGGGGGCCCGGGTTCACCTGCAATTGGAGTCACTGCTGCATAAATGGGTTCACATTCTTATGAACCAGCTCCCTCTACATTCTCCGGCAAGGGATGGACTCCCGACACACTGCTAAAATCTTAACAAGAATCTTCAACAGTCTAGTAGTGGAAACTTGCTTTGCCCCTTGCAGGGACACACGCAAACCTTCTAGAAAGGCTTTGTGGATTAAGTGACTGACTGCTGAAATGAGAGATAGACAGCCAGTGGAGGCAGAAATGGACATTACTCACTCCTGGTCGACGTAACAATACTTTGATGTCCTGCAAGAAATTTCCAACCTTTGTGCCATTTTATTTACTAGTGAGCTAGGCATAGGCATCACTGCAAGAGAAACTAGGGGTCCCTAAAGCTGGGCTTACTGTGTTCCTAATTATACTGGAACCAGGTGGATTTGCTTAGCGTCAGCCTCCCCTGTGTGATAATTCAAGATGGCCAGTGGATCTCATGCTCTGGTTTTTCAATCTTGAATGAATGTTGGAATGATCTACAGGGGCCTAAAAGCTAGGCTGTTACCTGTCTCCTCCCTCCACCCACCACACCATCCCCCCGAAATACTATGGTACTTGGTAGTCTTAACTGTGCCCTCAACTTAGGGCTTGATAAATTCAGCTACAAGAGATTTTCAAACGTTTTGCTGATAGGACACCTGGGAATTTCTGAGGTGAACCCCAAGGCTGGGTATGATTTTTACTTCTTCAGGTGACTCCAGTGTCAGGCAGTGCTGAGAAGAGCCAATGAAGAGGTGAGTTCAGACCCGCACATTAGAGTCATCAGCCAACTGGTTAGAAAGCAATTTCTGAACTGGGAGGTCTGAAGTGGAATCTGAGGTGTGAATGTCTAATGTTCCCAAGTGAGGTGCATAGTGCTGACTCGGCATTCCAACCTTGAGGCCCACTGCACTGAGAGGCTGACACTCCTAAAATACTGCTTGTATTCTCATCAAGGCAGGCTGCTTCCCAAAGCACTGGGAATTTGCCCAGCTCTTGGAGGGTGTGTTTGGAAATCCCATAGCACATCAGAGTAGGTGGCTTGACTTTGAACAGTAATAAAAACAAAAATTAAGAAAACAATAAAAGAAACAACCAACACCAGACAAAAATGGTTGAATTGGAAACCAGTGGAGCAGAAACAGCTTGTGAGAAGACAGGAGGACAGGAACCACTTAGAAGATGGAGAATGGGAAGAGGGCAAGTGGTTCTCAAGCCAGTCACTCTGAAACATCCCACGGGGGCTAAGAATACCCCTGAGCAGTACCAAGAACAACAAAGAGATGTTAAAGGTCTTCTTGTGTACCAGGGCCTGTAGGAAGTGCTTTATCACTCCACTCCCCGACAATCATGCCATGTGCTGTAATTTTGGAATATCACAGGTAAGAAAACCCAAGGGATACGAAATGTATTTGTAGTTACACAGCCCAAACACTGTGGAGCCCAGATAACAATCCAGAAGGCTCTGGTTCCAAATGTACATTCCTCACCAGCATGTTACCATGCCACACTGCCTCAAGCTTGCTCTTGTCTCTATATTTCTCTGCGTCTATGTCTTTGCCTCTTTATCTATCGCCTCTCTCTGTGTCTGTGTCTGTCTCTGTCTGTCTGTCTGTCTGTCTCTGTCTCTCTTGGTGTGTGTGTGTGTGTGTGTGTGTGTGTGTGTGTGTGTGTGTGTGTGTGTGATGTGGATGGGACCCATGGGTACTCATATTCTACCATTGAATTACATCCACAGCCAAAAGACTGTTCATATGTGTGTGATAAATTGTAAGAGATGTTTAAAAACACACCACTTGGTGAGTTAACGGTTTTCTCAAAGTTCAGGCAAATGTTCATAATGATTTTAAATATCAATAATGAAGGACCAAAGCTATAGAGAAACTCAGCCATGACCACAGAGTATCCACTCCCACAATAACTTCCCGTGCTTTTGCAGGATGGACCTGAAGTCTGCAAGCTGCTTGGAATTGAACCTTTCATAAGACATGGCATGAAATTATAAGCAATACAGACCCAGGGAACTTTTCACAATATGTCCAGCTTAGTGCAAAATTGGACTTTGCTGCAAGGCAACTGAGGGAAATACACAGGAATGTCTCTTGTTTTCCCAGATAAACTGGACCTTTCCAAGAAGAAGCCAAACTGGGGGAGCTCAGCAGATTTGTTGTCTGTTTTTAGTTCAGTTGTTGTTTTCGCTTTTTGAGGTAGAGTCTCACTATTTAGCCCATAGCAGTTTGGATCAAACAATCTTTCTGCTTCAATCCACCATGTGCTAGTAATAAGAGGTGTGACACCTCTTCCATTTTAGCTGGACTTTAGGTAAGGACTTGGTATTATCTTTAAATGAATTTCAACTTATCACACTGAGAGGGCAGAAATAAAAATCTATTCAACATCTCACTTAATTTTAAATTATGAATATGTAAAATAGTATGAGTTTTTGAAGTTTTCAAACTGTTTTTCTTTGCCAGAAAGAAAATAGATAAAATGTCTCTTCTAAAATCCCTAAAAGTAATTTATGCACCTGTTTTCAGGGTAATTTTTTGAGGGTAATAACAAATACCTGGAAAGAATAAATGTATTTATTTATTTATTTATTTATTTATTTATTTTTCCTCTTTTTGCTTTTCGGTTGGGGTGGGATTACAATTTTCTTTCAATTGTATGTGTGTGGTGTTTGATTTCATGTGTGTCTGTGAGTCATGTATATGCCTCCTGCCTGTGATTGCCAGAAAGAGCATCTTATCCCCTGGGATTACAGTTATAAACAATTGTGAGCTGTCGTGTGGTTGCTGGGAATCAAACCCTGGTTCTCTGGAAGAGCAGCCAGTGCTCTTAGCTACTGAACCCTCCCTGCAGCCCCCTTTGAGAAAAGGTCCCAGGCTAGCCTGTGAAGGCATAGCAAGTTCTCTTGCCTCAGCTACTCAATGCTGGGATTTCATACATGAATCACCACACATGCCTGCTTTCCACCTCCTGAGAACATTTTTCTATTCTCTTTGAAATTGTCAGATACAAAATCACACGTTGCTTTTGCATGACAGACTGTTGTGTGAACATTTTATTTTTAACATACAAATAAATTTGTTCTTGAAAACGGAATTGCCTCTTATTGGGAATAAGGGCCTGTCTTTTTGGAGATGTTGCATATGTTTACATTATAGGAATCCTAAAAGGAGCTACACTACTGTGGGTTGTGGCATCCAACAATGAGAGCACTTATACAGAACTGAAGTTCTGTAACTGAACTGAAATTCTGGGGGTTGCCTGCCTATTGCACCTTGACAGCTGGTAATGAGGGCCACCACCAGGACACTAACGTGAGGTTACTATAGCTGCAACAAAGAAGCCAAGACATTAAAACCTATGATGACTCCAGAAACCCCATGTACACAAAAATGCAGCAGTTTAACAAACAGAATGGAAAGGGTCAGAGTAGAAATGGCAAGGAAGCAGAGTCAGGGGAAATTATCCATCCCACCATAACTCTTACCTCTGCAGCCTGAAGAGATCCACCGTGGAAATGCAAAATGAGGTGATGGTTTTCACGTGGTGGAAAGAAAATTTAAATTTGTGAGTGAGGACAAAAGTGAAACCGATGGCTGAGAATATAAATAGTAATTTGAGGGAGCATCGGTGACAAGCAGAGTGACAACGCCGTATTTACATAAGGCATTTGCATCATTGTGATTGACAGAAGCAGTTATGATTTTTGTACTAATGGAGTTTTTATCTTTACAAGGACTTGAAATGAAACTCTCTTGAGAAACTGACAATTCTAGTTGATTTTCTATGGTGAATGTGTCCTGAATGAGTGTGTATAGGAATTACAGCACTTAAAGCCTTCTGAAAATTATGTATTCATTTGTCATGTTTCATAGGTTATATGCACAGAAAGGAAGCGAGAAGAATCCAAGTACCAACCCTCTGTTTCGCTGTACTATGACCCTTGATGAAGCAGCGTGCTATGCTTATTTCTTGGATCAGTGTCACAAACATTGCAAAACATTCTGAATTATCGCTGCATATCCTTTTGGGGTTTTTTAAAGAAATTACTTCCACTAACCTTACATGCATATGTCTGTATGTCCTTTCTCTTTCCAGTTCATTCTTATGGTTAAAAAATATTGGCTACAAAATAATTAGTTTAAATGCTTCCTATCCCATCAGAACCAATGTACTTTTCAGAAAATAGACACCTATTAAAATGTGGTTCAAGAAGTAAACACACAATCCTAACAGTAGTCAAATTCACTTCTGTCTCATGGGTGAAAACACACAAATATTTATTCCTTTAGAACTACTATATGTGACATCAGCTCTTAATTCCTCACTGTATTTGTTCTGAGAGTTAATCAGACATGAGATTTAATGGGACAGTCTGAAACAAATACACTACTTACATCAGAAGAGCTTAATTTACAAGCATGTAGCAATGGTTCCTGAAGGCTGACCCTCATAGTAAACTATTTAAATAGGAGGCTGTATGGACATACCTCAGGATATACAACCATCAGAAGCTCACCTGGAGGGCCTATGGATCCTTTTCTGCCTGGAGGTCCAGGCAGTCCCTTCTCTCCAGGTGCCCCAGGAAGGCCAGGTGGCCCTGGAGGCCCTGGGAATCCCATTGGTCCTAAAGAAAAGATAAGGAGGAGGGCACAGAAAGGATGTTACAGTGACTATAACGGGTTTAGCATCTGTAGAGTTCCGCTCCAAGAACAAGCAGGGCAGAACTTGTGGGAGGGAGGTCTTTCGCCTCATTCTGGAGGGTTAAGAAGAAATACTTCTGCAAAAGAACTCCAGTGGTCAATGAGAAGGGTTAGCAAGTTGAGACTACATGAAAAAGCAATGCCCCATATCCTGAACTTTCTCTGGGGACAGCAAAGGATTAGAACTGAGTGGGAAGGAAAGAGGCATCTGCATGACTGAAGGTCCCACCACTGTTTTCTTCACCATTTTATAGTCAGGCCCACTCACAGCATCCTCTCCGTGTTGGTCTATGTAGGTGCTATTTAAGTTTGTGCACCCTCTACCCTCCAGTAGGTACCCAGTAGACTACAGAACTTCCTGCCCTTGTTACAGGAAAGCATGGACTAGCTGGGTGTGCCTCATAGAATGAGAGTTGAGCAGGAAGCATGGAGTAGCTCCACTATTTAATTTTTAAAAAATTACACGCACATGCGTGCATATGTGTGTGTGTGTGTGTGTGTGTGTGTGTGTGTGTGTGTGTGTGTGATGGATAGAGCATGTGCATGCTACAGGACATGTGTGAAGGTCGGAGGATACTTTGGTGAAGTCAGTTACCTAGTTCACAGGATTAAAAGGAGTTCTTCATGCTTGCATGGAAAGGGCATTTGTAATCACTGAGCCATCTCACCAGCATCGTCTGCCACTATTCCCAGCATCCTCTCTGCCCTCAGCTAGGTCCTTCCATTAGCTTGGCTTCTGAAGCTTCTGTCCAGGTGAAGATGTGTGCCCTGGATCTGTCAGTCTCCTTTCTTTTCTTGATGCCCGGAGCGTTGGCACGTCTGCCTTATTCTGATATGAGTGGATGATCACAAGCTTGCAGATGCAATCTACAGCATCACAGCTGATTTTATTAAAGTAAAGAGGTTTCTGCCTACTGTTGCATAGATACGCACTACCCAGTCCCACAGATAGCCTTTGCGCTGTGGCTTTTGCAGCCTCGGTATAATTTTGGTCTCCCCTTTGCCGTAATCTTTTGCTGTGTCTCATACTAGGTTCAGAAGTAAGGCAAAGTGGTAAATTCTGGGCCCTTTTTGGAATTTTCATAGGTAGGATTTTTTTATACCCAACCCCCTTATAAAATAAGGAAGTTGAAAAAATACACATTAGTCTCTTTTCAAAAAATGCTCCAGGAGACAACTATTCTTTCCTACCTACATATAACTGGTAAGCACACGAAATGTGGTCTGTCCACACTGGGCTGAACTGTAGTAAGTTTGAAACATGCATTGAGTTTCAGTGACAGGCAAGGGTGTGTCATACTGGAGAAAGGTTCTGAGTTTGGAACAATACACTGCTGATTATATGCTAAAATCAATAATATTTGAACACATTTTATGGGAGAAAGCACAAGACTTAGTTCTACTTGTTTATTTAAAAATTTTTTATGGGGAGTGGGCATTTTTGAGACACGATCCTACTCTAGAGCTCAGGCTGTCCTGGGAGGCGCTATGCAGCTCAGGCTGGTCTTAGACTCACGGCAGTTCTCATGTGTCAGCCCCCCATATGTTGGGATTGCACACACAAGCCACCTTGCCTGGCTAGTTTCACTCCGTAAAGATGGCTTCTACATTTTTAAATCACATGTTCGAGGTTGCTTTTGATTCTATTGCTCAGTCTGGTACAGAAGACTCAGTCTTTTTCTTTTCCAGCTTAGCTATTTATTTAAGACAGGTCTCATGTACCCTAGGCTAGCCTCAAACTCACTATACAGCCAGAAATTATAGGCATTCTACTAGTTCCAGTCCCTGTGTGTCCTTCTTTCAGTTTTTATTTCAACCTGAGAACTTTTTAGAGGAAGCCAGGGCATTTTAAAAATAGGAATGGCATCATGGCAGGGAACACAGTACCCCAGACCCTTAGAGTAAGGTGAGGAAGGTCTTCACACACCACCAAAAGAACAGCCAACAGCATACCTTTCTGACCATCTTGGCCATCACATCCTGGGGCACCCTGACAGCCTGGAGGGCCTGGTGGGCCTCGGGAGCCAGGTGGTCCAAGCAAACCATGGTCACCTGGATCACCTTTCAGAAGGTCGACGTTCCCAGGGGAACCTGGAGGCCCAGGTGCTCCTGACACAGAGAGGAGGCAAAAACATTCAGTAAATGACAAAACTGAGTATTGGTGGTTTGACAACTTCTCAGGGAGGGAAATGCAGCAATTTGCCAACAAGGAATGTAGAAAATCAGAAGTACAAGGCAGTCAGCAGTATCAGAAGTGAAATGCAAAATGTCTGCTACAGGGTACACGCTGAGAAAATTTAGCTTAGTAAATAAATAGACCCCTTCCCCTTCGGAACCATTTGGAAAGTATCAGCTAATGGTTTGTGTCTTTAATCATCTCGTTGTTATAGCAGATTGCATGACTGGATGGATGGATGGATGGATGGATGGATGGATGGATGGATAATGGATGGATGGATGGATGGTAGATGAATGGGTGGATGGAAGGATGGGTGGGAGGGTAGGTAGATAGGGGGGTAAATGGATGGATGGATGGATGGTAGATGAATGGATGGATGGAAGGATGAGTGGGAGGGTAGGTAGGTAGGGGGGTAAATGGATGGATAGATGGGTGTGTGGGGGTGGATGAGTTCATGGACTGGTGGTTCGATGAGTGAGGAGATGGTTGGTTGAATAGATGAATTGGTGGGTGGATAAAATGTATGGTTGAATGAATGGATGAATATATGGATTGAAGCTTGGATGAATGAATGGGTGGGTAGATGAATAGATGGATGAATGAAGTTTTAATAAAATATAACTAATGAGGAATGAATGTGCGCTCAAAATCATAATATTATTTTAAAACAAGTATCTATTCATAGAAGTGAGCTGACCCCAACTTTATTCTTAATTAGCTTCTGTACTTCCTAGCACAGTTTTTATTGCCTTTCTTTTCTCTTATGTGTCTCCACATAAGAGTTCTATGAGCCAGTGTGAATGTGGCTAAAAATAAGGACGAATCCATGACTGACATATACTCTTCGCCTGATGCCCACACCCACCTGGTCTATCACTGGTTCTTTGTTTTGTTTTGTTTTAGCTGCAAACAACTTCGAGAATCTTGTCCTGCACCCTGTGCATCAGTGAAACAGTCAACAGGCACTGCTGGTGGCCCATGTGGAGACTTCCTGTGTATGTGACAGGCCTGGGACCTGCCCCCTATCCCCGTGGGCAGGTGCTAGAAACAAGGAGAGCACAACTCTTTCCTCCCGGGCACCTCCGACAGGCAGTGTCAATCTAGTGGTGGGGAATGTTTCTTTTATCTGTGTGTACCCAAGCAGCAGGAGTCTGTTGCAGCCAACATAGAGGAGTAAGGGGGCTATGTTCTAGACCTGGGCCTGGGAGACCCTGCTACCTATACCGGTCATGCAGGCACATCTCACCTAATCCACCTGCTGAGTGGGCACAGCCATTTTGGCACTTCTCTGGGAGATACTACAGCTATACCTAGCTGGTCACTTCTAAGAAAGAAACTGCTGTCATCCTCTGTCACGATGCCCTCATACCTCTTGGGCCATCAGGGCCGGGAGGTCCCCAGTCTCCAGGTGGACCTGGATCAGGAATGTCACCTTTAGCAGCTCTTCCTGGGGCACCGGGGGGACCAGGTTGTCCTGGTCTCCCTGTGGAATTACATGTTTTTATGTTAGTCCCATCACATCTGAAATGTTTGGAACTAGTTCTTGAGGAAAGATCAAAGCATGCTGCTTCTTACCTGGGGGTCCTGGGAGGCCTTTTTCTCCAGAAAGGCCTGGGGGAGAAATTCCTGGGCTCCCAGGGTCACCTCTCTCTCCCTTTAGTCCAGGCACTCCCATTGGCCCAGGTGGACCCATTTCATGCAAACCTTAACGTGAAAGACAGCAGCAGTATTGCATCTTTGAAATTATCCCTGCCACAGAACCTGAAAAGGACCCCCGCAGCAGGAGTATGGCAGCTGCAGAGGGACCAGTTCCGGATGCAATGGTGCTTCATTCCCTGAATCCCCATTTCTTGCTTATGACCCATCACACCGACCAACCACAATTTGGTTTCTGTTGTGGTTATGTCCCACATTTTATGAAATATTACTGTAGGAACAGTTTCACAAAGAAAAAAAACCAAAGGAGATGACTATACATAACTGCGAACAAATTGTTTAGAAATCTGAGTGGATACTGGTCTACCATAATTTGGAGCTTCCCCCTGAAAAGGGAGAGAATATGGAGAATATCTTTGGTTTCTTGGAAGGATTATATATTTAATAAGACTAATTGAAAGAGACACCAAACAAATCTTAGGTGACCTGAGTTACTTTTGGAATATCCCAAATCCATAAAGATTCCATCTCTCTCCAAGAGTAGAGTCATGCCTCACTGTAAAATCTTTTTTCTGATAGGTACTCGAATTTGCTAGTTGGGTTCAGCTACTATGTCTGATGTAGGCTGTTTCAATGGGAAAATAATACAACAGACTTTTTTAATGGAATAAGCTACAACATGGTGGTTGAAGGTTAACCTGTCTGTGACATCAAAATTAAGGGCAGATTGGGAGCTGGAGAGATGACTCCACAATTAAGAGCGCTTGCTGCTTTTCCAAAGGACCAAAAATTTGATTGGAAGTACCTATGTTGTACCACTCACAAATAACTGCCTGAACTCCTGCTCCAAGGAGAATCAAGACCCCCAGCTCTCCCGGCACTTGTGCTCACATGCATATAACCCCCACATAGACGCACATAATTGAAAATTATAAAAATGGGTCTTAAAAAAAACTAATGGGAAGTTATTCAAGTAATTTGTCTTAACAGGTCCCAGTAAAGGGATGCCAGCACTACTAATTAGATTAATGTGATTATAGCAGCCATTGCTATACTTTTTAAAAACAAAAAGCAATATATATTTTTTAAAAATAAGGCTATTTATTTTTCATAACATCTTGAAATCTGATCCCATTTTAGCAAAAATTCAGAGTATTCAGTAGACTGACCTAAGCTGTGAAAAGAAAAGTACTATTAACTGCCACTCCTTTGCATCAACTTTCCTTAAATGTCTTTTTTCTATAAACCATGTGCAAATCCAGATGTGGTCCCAACACTGTCTCTACCATCTTGTCAATCTTTTGTATTCACCCCCAATTCTCATGACTTGAGGAAATGTCAGGAAAAGATTCTGCTCCATCCCTAGGCCCATAGATTAAAGTTTGATCATCAATAGTTCTGTCTTACCTGAGGTACCTTTGGCTCCTTTCTCACCCTTGAGACCGTGCAAGCCGTTCAGCCCAGGAGACCCGGGGGGCCCTGAAACACAACACAGGTTCTGTGTCTCAAAGGTTAGACCAGCTATTAATTCCTCCTCTGACAGCAATATGATGTCTACACGAGGGGAGAGTGAGTCAAAAGGAAGAAGGCAGACAGATCTCACTGTCTGGAGGTCATCATTGAGGCCAGAATCCAGCCTGGGAGTTGATCAGCATTCATTTGGTGGAGATTTTCTGACATGAAAACTTAACAAATATATTTCTCAGGCTTGTTTTGTAACTAACTCATGATGGGAAACAGTCTAGAATTGCCACATTTGGATGCAGGAAGTGACCTTTGATTTGATGATGATAAAATCTCTTTAGGCAAGGACAGAGATTGGATGACAGTAAATCTCAGCTTGCTGCTTCTCAGTTTGAGTCTTCTCTTCCCACCAGGGTGTGCTGGTCCTAACTCCTTCCAGATGTAGTCATGGTAACAAAGCAAAGCGAGATGATTCCTGCTGTGGTGTATGGGGACTACTTGTTCTCCTTGGTTTTGTGTTAGGCACTGTACTACACTAGAAAACAAGACCTGGGTCAAGTTCAACTGCAGCTATTTCTCTACAGCTACTTCTTCCAGAATTGTCCTGATACCTTCTTACAGCAAATGAACTGACTTTGTGGAGGTTCTCTGAAATCAAACCTCAAGCCCTAAAATAAATTTTATGCCCCCCAATGATTCAGTACTCGTGGAATTAGACTAACCAAAAAGGCATTCTAGAGTTGTCTAAAGAGATAGATGCCAACCTGACTTTATGTAAGTTGTGCTTAATATTTTTAAATGAGAGTTTTCTAACAGGGTGACACAAAATTGAGGGTAACAGAGTGAGAGAGCAGACAGGTAACAAATGTCATAGAGTCCCTCAAGAGCACAGAGCCCAGTCACACGTACTCCCACATGTCTTACTGTCCCACTGTGTGATCCTTGGAAGAAAGCTTTGCTCAGCCTTAGGCCAACCCCAATGGCCTTCCTAGTTCATTGCTGGACTTTCCATCCACCAGCTGTCCTTTCCCACCCAGAAGTAAGCAATCCTTCACACTGTCCATTCACCCAGATGAGCATTCTATTGGTTCATGACAAAAACACACTCATCTCATGTGACCAAAAGCACAGGAAGTGGCCCCTGTAGTGCTCACAGTACCCCCATGGGGCTCTCTGGATGGACTGCATCTACCAACTTGTAAAACAAGCATGCCTTTGGGTGGCAGCTTCCCTGGCTCAAGCATAAATGAGCTCATGAGCAGGCCCTACTAGTCTTTCTATTCCCACACTGAACATAGTTCCTACACCTTACAAGTATTGAACAGATGCTTGTTGACTTAAGTGAATTATAAAATGTGAAGACACGTGAAGGTTGAATACATAGACAGTAAGCTGTATTTAAAAAGTAGACCACTGTTTCTGATTGTATGTCACATTTTTTTCTAATACATTTGTGGAGCAAATACAATTCTGAGAAGTTGAAGGTATCAACCAATGGGTAAACAATTCCAGTGCTAGTTACACTTTGTTCAGTAAAGCAAGTTCTCACGGGCAATACTGATCGGAGGATAGCGTAGTTATTGTGTCCATTCTATCTAATATCAGTACTTCAAATGGACAACAGGAGTTTCCTTTTAAGATCCCAAATTTAGACTGATTCAATGAGCCATATTTTCTTGCATTGAAAAAAAAAAGGTGGGGGGAATGTGTCCTTACGTTCCCTAAATCTCTTATTTTCTAACTACTTTTCACAGTCCTGGCTTAGTTTATTTTCCAATCCTCTTCCCTATTTTATGAGCCAGTATTTCAAGTTTGCACCAAAAGAACACAACGACCTTCTTTGTCTGCCAAATCTGGATATTTATTACAATCTATTTAAAATGATAATAAATTTTTTGAGACCACTTCGCTATTTCTATGTATTTTGATCTCCAGTGTTAGCCACCAAGATTGATGGCTTGGGGACTTGGCTAAAGGAGGGCTGTCCTAGCCTCTGCCAACTCTCCATTGTCGCATCAACCCATCCAGATCCTGGGCTGTCACAGTCCAGCCCCTTGCCATTGTTGAACTGGCCGACCCTTATGTGACCCAATGTTATCTTTCTAAATTGAATGCAGCTACATCTGGGCAGGGTTTTAAGCGTAATTTTCCCCTTTTACTGAAAGCTTTTATCAATCCCATCTCTAAATCAGAAAGTTGTTCATGCATAAAATATATACAGTGCAGATGAAGGGCAATTAGGCTAACAAAGCACATTCCTGGGTAATGAGGAATTTTTATTCACCTCTCTGATAGTCCTTCTGTTTAACAACCACCAATTGAGGCTGCACCCGGCTGCACTCAGGGGCCAGTACACTCTTCCTCTAGCCAGTGAACCTAACCTCCGCCCAGCACATTGTGCCTTTCCTCTGTGTTAGACAGTCCACGCTTGGTGACAGAGTCCCCAATCTAAAGCCAGAAAAATGCTACTCTGTACTCCCATGACACTGGCAGGGCTTACGTTTTAATGGGGGTGACCAGTGCGCCCCCTGTTTGGCTAGGACCTTTAGCATTGGAATTCCACATCCTAAGACAGTCCCAAGAAAAATGAGGCAGCTGGCCACACTAACTACAAAGTTAATGGAAAAGAGAAATCTTCACAACCAAAGGCAAAGGTTGGGAACCCTTATCAAGAACAGATTCCAAAATAATATTTAAATTAAAAAAATTTTAGCAAATACATGAATTCCTACTGAAAGAATAAATATGGCTTCCTAATGCACAGAGCTCCATCCCCCAAGAGCATATCTCATGACAGGTACTGAAGAGACAATGAGACACAAGAAAGACATAATCCCTGACCTGACAGGACAAAGAAGCAATGACATCTAGTTTGCTAAGTGCTGGGGTGAGAGACAGGAGGATAATTTACTTACAGGAGCTGGGGAGAGTGTTGCTCTGATTGTCATAGCTCACTGATGGAAGGCATTCTCGTCCTCATAAAAGACATTTGAAGTCAATCACCTTCTAAAAGTGAACTCCTGGGGCTAGGAAGACGGACGGCTTGGTCAATGCAGGCTTGCCATGTCGGTATGAAGGCCTACATTTCATCCCCAGCACCCATGTTTAAAAAAATATCTGGGTGCACATCTGTAACCCCAGCCCTCGGGGAGCTGAGACAGGCAGATTCCTATAGCTCTTTGGCCAGCTACTCTAACCCAATCCAACACTCACTGAGCTCTAGGCTTAGTGAGGGTCCCAGTTAGTTTTGTCAACCTGACACAAGCTGGAATCACCTGGGAGGAAGAACTTCAATTGAGAGTAAAAGACACTGTCTCAAAAAGAAAAGGGGAAAAAAAGTGGAAAGCAGTTGAGGAAGACACCCAACATTGACCTCTGACCTCCACCATCCCCAACAGGCATGGACATATATACACAACCCCTCTACAAAAAAAAAAAAAGAAAGAAAGGAAGGAAGGAAGGAGGAAGGAATGAAGGAATGAAGGAAAGAGGGAAGGAAGCAAGAAAAGAAAAGTGAACTATTTTACTTGCCACTAGCCCAGATACCCAATTCGCATGTAGTATTGTCACACAACCAGTAATTCTCAGTAGGTTTCCATCATTCTCATCTTGGATACAGAACTAGACACGGGGTGTTTTCCTTTTAGAGAGTGCATGTACTTGGAAACATAAAGCAAGCAGTCAAGCCACTTGTTATCATGTGTCTAAGCTAAAGTTTAATTCTGACTGGACTCAAGCAGGACTTAGAGATCCACACAGTCTGTGTGAACAGGGCAAAGAAATCAGAGCTCAGCAGCTGCTTTGTTCAGACCGGAGAGTAGGTCCCCTACCTTAATCAGAACATACTTCAAATAGTTAGTTTCTCAGTTCAAAGTGATTCTGCAGGATCCTGCTTCATTTTTATGTGGTTATAGAGAACTGCAACAATGGGTTTCTGCTGGGATGTTTTTCGTTTTAACAATGTATCCCACTGCTTTGTTTTGTTTTGTTTGACTGGATCATTTGCTGTGCGTGTGCAGTGAAACAGCGTCCCCGAGTGGTAGCAAAGGAGCACTGCAGCAAGGGTCTTCACTGGGAGTAAAATGCCCTTTGATCTGTTTCCTTCCAATTCCTTTCAATGCACAATGTTGGGAGGCAATTAGAAATTACTTCTAAAGTAATTTCATCATGGACCAAGTTCATGCCTATTAGGTGTTTCTTTGTTTTATTTTGGTTTTTGGTTTTTTTTTTTGAAACAATGTCATACTGAAGGCATTTGATAAATGTTCAAAAAGGAAGGAAGCATGTATTACAACCACCTGCAGGCATTCAGAAACTCTCCCTGATGTGTGGAACTGGAAGGCTGTGGAGAGAGAGCCTTAACAATGTTAAATGTTTTCTTTTGGATCCCTACCAAATCCTTCCAGACTGGAAGAATGTTGAAGTCAAAGAGGAGCCCAGGAGGTCTGCAAGGGTTGCCAGAGGCAGAAAATGTCCGCAGTCACGAGAGGAAAAGCTCAGAATAACAGCAGCATCATTTTGTGTGGAACTTTAAACTTGTCACAAGTCTGGTTTTCACATTACTACAAACGTCAGTGAGGATGGAGAAGGCATCAAGAGATTACATGTTCTAACAAGAACTTCTCCCATCACGTTATTTGCTTGCCAGCAAACGCTTGAGTGTGCTGGAAACTTCCAAAGGGAGGACTTCCCCTGTCTGCAGCATTGCACCAACACACACACCACACTACTGCTTGTTGAAGCCCTGGGGATCTTGGAAAGCTGAGGGGTGAAGAGCAGAAAGGACGAGAAAAAACAGATTTTGGATTTTCAAAACAATGACGCATTTAATTCAGAAGAGGTTTCTAACTATTCTAAGAGGAAGTCTTTTGATTTCTACTAGCACATCTTTTATGTGTATAAGTCACTGGCCTGAAGACAGCTGGGACTAACGGAAGAAACGAGGAGGTAGAGGAAGCTAACTTATCAGGGTGTGGCCAGGAAAGCTTGTCCCTCACCTATTGTTTGAACTATAGACCCCTGACTTCATAAAGTATTAATTCACCAACCAAAAATACTTGCTGTGTATCGTGCATCAGCTGGTACCGAGGGCATTTTTCCAAAGGTCTTAGTTTTGAAAAAATGATCTTCCGTTGATAAGAAAGTCCTCTGCAGGTGTTGTGTTAGAGGTATGCACCGAGCACACAGAAAAGGGATTTGTCTAGAACAGGAGAAATGGACCATAGGGAGAGGGAGGCAGATGAATACAAGGGCATGAGTGCTGCAGAATAAGCCTTCTATATGCTGTAAAAATGTGTTGCTCTCATTGTTGATAAAAATCTGATTGGCTGATAGCTAGGCAGGATTTTAGGGGTAGAGAGAATGCTGGGAAGAGGAAAGGCAGGGTCAGAGGAGGTCACCAGGAGGGAGCAAGACATGCTGGCGGGCAGGTAAAGCCATGAGCCACGTGGCAATGTATAGATTAATGGAAATGGATTAATTTAAGTTCTAAGAGTTAGTAATAAGCCTGAGACATCTGTCACACATTTATAATTTATATGAAATCTCCATGTCGGTTATTGGGTCCCGATGAAAAACCTACACCTGAATATATGCTAACAGTAAGTGTTCTTTGCTGTACCTTGTTACATTACATCCAGAAAAATAACCAGACCACTATTACCTTTAAAAGTCAAAAACTACAGCCAGGACAAGTATTTCTGTACCTAGCAAAGGAAGCGAATATAATTCAATGGGTATGTGTTCTCTGGGAAGCCCTCCTATCTCCTCACCCCTTCCCACAATCAGTACACATGTACTGAGGCACATAAATACCTTAAAGCCTGCCATCCTCTTCAGTGTCCACAACTCCCCTATTTCTGAATGTTTTCTTAATCAATACCCACAGTGTTGAAAACATTTTATTCTTTTTACTGTGCTTTTATTTCATATAATGGACTAGCAAGGTTAAAAGCCATTCTTCTGTTTTTAATCTATAAAAAACACAGCATGCCCTATATGCTCTATAAATGTGACGGACAGAGAGTGCTTACAGCATCCTGCAACTCAAGAAATGGGCATTCCTGCAATTCTAAGTTTCTAATCACAAACAGTGCCTAAAAAGCTGAATGACTACCAAGCTGTTTCTGCTAGTTAAAGTGTACCTGGGAACCCTAGTGCTACACCCCTTCCCTTCTGTGACTGCCATGCCCTGATCAGGTTTAGATGAGTGACTCCAGGGCTTCTGGGAAATTCTCCTTCTGTCTCTCCATCATTCAATGGCTCTGCTCTGTCCAGCAAGTGATTTAGCCACAGAGTTCAAGGCTGATTTTAAAGATGTTTTGATTTCACTTTTGTTTGTTTATTATGAAGATGTTTATAATAACTGAATATAGACAAGTATGCCTTTAATTCTGAAATTTCATTCTTGGGGATGCAGGAGATCACTACCTAATGCCTTTCTTACCAATTTGAAGGGTTCAAATGCTTACCAGGTAGGGTTGGACATGGGTTGTGTCTCCCAAGGGTTCATTTGTGAAAATATAATTCACATGTTAGGCATTAAAAGAGTAGAAGCTAAATCCAACTGCTATGGTGTTAGCGCCGCACCTGTCTCTCTTTTTATGAAATAGTCTGGAGTCGTGCATATTTTCTTTAAAATGACACCCAACACCTAACACAGAATTTAGGGCATATAAAGAGCTCCGTTATAAGTGGGGGCAAATGGAGACACATGAACATCATGACAGACACAAGCAACATGCCATCAGAGCAATAGGATGGAAACACCAAGATCCTGGATATTCCCCAAAGGAAGGCAAGTGAAGATGGGCATGGCCTCACACACTGCTGTGGGGAGGCGGAGCTACCGGTGGGGTCCTTGCTGATCAAGCAGAGCCCAGGAAAGGAGCTGTGACTTTGCCCGAAGTGGGCTGGAGCTGTCTGGAGGGCTGAGCATTCTCCCCGCTTACCTTTTACTCCAGGAGGACCTGGTCTCCCTATAGCTCCTGGGAAACCTCTTGGCCCAGGGTCTCCCATTTCTCCAGGATGGCCCTTCGGTCCAGGCATCCCTGAATCACCTGGGAACAGGAGAGAAAATTTTCAGACAGTGATATGTAAACAACATTCCCTGGTAATATACAAGTAACCAGGGACACAGTTTTATTACTTTTTCTTTCTACATACTTTCTACATATTTTTTCCTACATGAGGAGACAAATACTTAATTTCAGAAAGATGCACTTTCAAACAGTTGAAGTTGCCAGTCATGATTTTAGCTGGGGTTTTCCCCCCCTGACTTGAAAGGAAAAGTATGATTAAAGTCCAGAACTGGCTGGGCGGTGGTGGCGCACGCCTTTAATCCCAGCATTCGGGAGGTAGAGGCAGGCGGATCTCTGTGAGTTCGAGGCTGGGCTGGACCGACAGCCTCCAAAACAATACAGAGAAACCCTGTCTCGTAAAACCAAAAAAAAAAAAAAAAAAAAAAAAAAAAGCCCAGAACTGTATATGTGATGTAGCTTTAGGACAGCCTCAAAAATGACAAAGGGATGAGAAGAAATGGCCTGTGCTGCCAGTCACCTTCTGTGCCCGGTGCAGAGCTGGCACTTTGCCAAAGCAGCTTGAGGTAAAGTCATTAGTGCAATCCTGTGAAGTCGGGCTGGCGTTGGGTGATGAAGAGATAAGTGCGCATGCCCTGTGCCCGGCAGGGTTCGGGAGGCAGACAGGCTCTAACAGAAGAGCAGATCTTCCGAATGCTCAGGCATTTCCAAGGTTTCTTACCTGGATACCCTGGTGGTCCAGAAGAGCCAGGCTGTCCAGGTCTGCCTGGTGGTCCTCTAGATCCTTCACCTCCAGGAAAGCCTTGCTCTCCAGGGGCTCCAGGATGTCCTAAGGAAGGTAAGATCAAAATCCTGTTAGTGAGCCGGGCAGTGGTGGCGCATGCCTTTAATCCCAGCACTCGGGAGACAGAGGCAGGAGGATCTCTGTGGGTTCGAGACCAGCCTGGTCTACCAGAGTTAGTTCCAGGACAGCCTCCAAAACAATACAGAGGAACTCTGTCTCGAAAAAAAAAAATCCCGTTAGTGATAGATCACTCTTTGAAATAGTGGCTCTCTAACAGTTGACTTCAAGCCTCACGCTGTTGTGGGTTTGCTTGTTTTTTGTTCTTGTTGTATTTAGACTCTTTTCTATTGATAAAGAAGACACGATTAAAGAAGATTTGATGACAAAACTCCCATAATCCTCCTGTCACCTTACCACAGGCTTCCATATGTACACATACATACTGTCAATACCCACAATTTCATTTTCTCTTTTTAAAACTAGTGCTGTATCAGTAGCAGTTTCCCAAGCTTGCCATAGTTTATCATTTTCAAATGATAGCTTCTTGATTCAATCTTATTTAAACTAATCAATCTAATTTCCTCTGCTGCTGGCCAATCAAGTACTTCAAATTCTTTTTGCTGCTAGGCATAATGATCTTTATACACATGTATAATCTTTTATTTATTCTTTGACAATTTCACACATGTATGCATTGATCATACTCACCCCCTATCCCACTGTCGTTTATAGATCTTTATCCATGCTCTCTCCTTTTGAACTATTTCCTTAGGAAAAAGTCCCAGGAATGGAATTTCTTGATAAATAGTGTGATGTTTGGGCTTAGCCTAAAATGCATTTTTAAATGCTAAAGGATCTTAAAGCAAAACTAAACAGTGTGGAATTCCATCCCAAAATGCTTTGGGAGCTAAGCCTGAAATCTTCCTATGTTGCTGACATAACATCGTGGCAGCCAAGAAAATTAATAACAGTCCCAAAGATCATCAAATGCTCACTGCAGACTCAAGTCCACTCCCACCCTGTTGTCCTTGGAGGAACCCCCACCAGAGTAGCGCATTGTGCCCAATGGGTGTGTCTCTGAAATTAAAATAATAAATAAAAATTTAAGGTCTCTAATGATCCCTTTCTTGTGACTACCTCCGGAGAAGAGCTTGGCTGCCCTCTAGGCCTTGTGGAATAGGTCATTCTACATTTGGTTCTTGACACAGGCTGCCTGTGCTTGGGAGGACATACTTTACTTGCAACCACCACCCCACCTGTCACCTACCCCCAGCTCTAGAAACAACACCCTGAGAATGAGCCATGATCTCTCTGAAGACTTTGTTTTGGGTAATTTGCAATTATTCTGGAGATTCTAGCAGTCCATATCTATCAGGAAGAGGTTTCCTCTTCAATTGATGTGCAGAGCAGATGCACAGGGGTTCTCCAAGCATCCTCTAGGCCCTCAGAGTCATATTGGGATTGCTGAGGCATCTAGTTTCATGGACTGAGCAACTACTGAATTCTCAGATTCTCCAGTGATCTGACAGTTAGACTACCCACCCTCTCCTGTGTAACCAATCAAATAATCCTTTTTGTAATGCATATTACTATATTATGTGTGATACTTACACATTGTATTATAACATATGTAACATATAATTTACTGGGTATGTTCCCCTAAAGAGCCCTGATTGCACTTTAAATTGTATTTATTTTATTTGTTTGAAAGATGGTTATTTTTCCATATGCTTATTTACATGTGTAACTTTAATTGAAATTTGTAGCAAACCAATAGTCTATGCTGAAAAATTGATGGCTGAATTTTCAAATAAAATATAAACTTTTGTATTTCCAAATCCATAGATGGTAGTATTCATTACAACCCTAAACTAACAGATGCCTGTTCCTGGCAACCGATGGAATTTACTATCCTCCAGCCATGCTCTGTGTCATCTGATTGATTCCAAACATCTTCCTGCAGGGGACACATGGCATTACCATTGTCCCCTCTGGTTGCCAAAACAGGCATTCATAACTGCATTCCGAAGGTATGGTTGTGTTGAGAGCAGGATTTTGGGAGTAATTTGCACTATATTTCCATAGGAGTTGGAGTGGATGGATGGGGTTAGGGTTGACTCAGTACAGCCTTACATAATCCTGGAGTCAGTTATGCTCTCTCTATACATCTACACTGAGTTCACTCTAGTGCAGTGCAGGACGTTCTAGCCAAGGAAAATAGAGTATCAACATTCTGTGCTGATTAATTACAGAACAAATTTTTTAAAACTCAAAGCTGAAGCCACTGCAAACAACAGACCAGAGCAATTTAAACACTGATGACCACAGGCCCCCAGATCAAGCACGGCAAGGCAGGCAGATTCACTGGAAAAGCTTGACTCGGCAAAAATTAACCTCAGACTTACAGCTTTCAACTTAAAATACTAGGTAACATAAAATGCCCCCAGTTTGTGCTACTTTGAGCCTGGAAAATTCTATATCATCAGGGTTTATACTCAGAAGCACAAGAACATTTCTTATTGTTTGACTGACTTCACAATAGTGAAGTCACCCATGCTGATGCTGTGTACGGTGTTTTCAGTGTGTGAGTGACTTTCATTGGATGTTCTGATTAGAAATTCTATTTTGGGAAACAAAACATGGCTCCTGTCAAATGGAACTTCAAGGTGATGCATGGATGTCCTGGCTAGGCTTTTTTTGTTTTGTTTTGTCATCTAGGAAGAGGGAATTTCAATTGAGAGTCTTATAAGACTGACCTGTAGGCAAGTCTGTGGGGACATTTTCTTGATGTGGTAGAACCCAGACCACTGTGGGTGGTGCTACCCCCTGGGCTGTTGGTCCTGGGTTCTATAAAAAAGCAGGCTGAGCAAGTGATGGGAAGCGAGCCAGTAAGCAGCACTCCTCCGTGACCTATGCGTCACTTCCTCCCTCCAGGTGCCTGCCTTGAGTTCCTACCTTGACTTCTTTTCATGATGGACTCTGAAAGCTGTAAGGTGAAATAAACCCTTTCCTCCCCAGGTTGCTTTTGATCATGGTGTTTGTGACAGCAGTAGAAAAGAAAATGCGACAAAGGCATTCTAAATACAAAGTCTTAATTTACAAGGAAACTGTGTCAATCCAAGCCTAGATTTACGTCCAGTTATTACTGACTGATTGCACGTGGGCATAAGAGACATAACCGGCCATCTGCGGTAGATGTTCACTCTGTCTGTGCAGTGTTTACCCTGTGCGTGTATCTATTTGCACTTCCCTGATTATTAACTTCAGATATGTTCCTAGCAGAAGACTTACTGTGGGAAGGAACAAGCATATTTTAGATATTGGTGCATTTTTCTGCAGGGCCCAAACCAAAGTGCAAATCTGAATTCACCTTGTTTATGTGCAAGCTCCTTGCTATCTGTGGGAGAAAGGTGGCTTCCAGTATAACTTTAGTCATCTTAAAATGACAGAGATGGCAAAATAATCTGAATTTTAAATGCTTGAGTATTCACTTTGAATATTTGAATAGTCAATAGGAGTATGCAGAAGGGAGTGTATTGCTGTACCAATGGTATTTGTCACAGGGGCCATTGTGGGAATATATTGAGAATCCCTAGTGCCTGGTCCTGATAGACTTCTGGGTGAAGGATGCTACAACAGTGCCACACAGAATCATTTTGGTACATACATTAATGAGCAAATGGTAAAGAAAATATTGATGGGATCATTTCCAATGATAACTGTCAGAGTAATTACATTTTGTTTTAAACTAAGTCTTTCTTATGATAGGAAAAATGTGGATCTATACCTTGGTATCCAGGGCTACCTGGCTCACCCTTTGGACCAGGTGGACCATGTTGACTGGCAGGGTCACCTTTGTTTCCTGTGAATGATACAATACAAGATCATTAGTTGGGAAAATATTGTTAGGTCTCGCATAAGTAACTTCCATGGTATTTCTCTTCACAATCTAACCTTGGATTTTCCAGGGGATTTTTTAAAAACTATTTTTTGTTCCTAAAGAAGAACAATGAATATATATATATATATATATATGTGTGATTTATGATTTTTAAAAGATTTATTCCATGTGTATGGGTGTTTGGCCTGCATGTGCACATGTATGCCATGCGAATGCCCGGTGCCTGTGGAGGTTACCAAGACAATCAAACTTTTGAATGTTGTATGCAAACACTGAAGATATTATGACTCCAGTTTATTTGCTTGTTTGTCTGGTCAAAAGGTAAATAAAACTTAGCCTTTTTTTAAGGATCTTGACTTGTGAAGAATATAATTTCTGTTGTGTTTACAAGGCAATATGGTTATGGGCACAACTCAATAGGCTCAGGTCTATTGAGTCAGTCTGCAGCTATTTTACAAATAAAGTTTTATTGAGATGTTACTGAGTAGTTATTGCTGAGACTCTACCCCACAAAGGAAAAGAAAAAACATGATATGGCCCTTTCTGAAAAAAGAAACTTCTTATCTTTAATTAAGGATAAAAATAATTCGATTATAAGTTATATCTGGATTGAGAATTCTAAAGTAAACAATTAACATCTGGTAGGGATTTTATGTTCTACAATTCTTATAAGAAGAATCCCAGTAGCTGAACAGAGGGACTCCTTAACTGAGTCACTGGTTCCTATGGAACACCGGGTTTCTGAGTCAAAGTGGACACTCTAGAGATGCTGATCTGGTAAGTTGTACTGGCTGCAATTTGAGAAGCTATGGTCACTGCATGGGCAGCTTTGGAGACTGTCATGGAGAGGAAGAGCCTGCAGGCATGCTGCATCCCATCTAGGTACCTTTGACCCAGGCAGAAAGTGAGAACCCTTTGAAGCTTCAGTGTTCCACTGTCAAGAAGAGTCGTTGCTGAGTTCTCACTTGTGTGATGCATGTTATCACTAAAAAGATGCTTACTTATAGGGTTATGACTCCCAGAACTCTGAGCTTGATAGCTGTGAACATTTTCCAAGCCCATACCTTTAGGTCCTCTTGCTCCATCATCTCCTGGGAATCCAGGGGGTCCTCGAGAACCTACATCACCCTGGCAATTAATGGAACAAAAATAAGACCCTAGTTGGGTTTTCCCCACAATGGCACAAACATGCTACAGTTTTCTGCAGCCAACTTGGTGTTTGTAATTGTTAACGTCCTTTTAGAATATTACTAACTGTGTCTGTGCTTTACGAGCTGGTAAAACTCCTACAGAATTAGAGCTATTCATCTCAGCAGAAAGCACAGAATTCTCTCTGCATGATTACCAAAGAGTAACCATGTCACAAAATTTGAATTTACAGTTTGATCAAGCCAGTTGACATAAAATAAAATATTGAAAGACGTGTTGTAACATAAATTTTAAAGATCCATTTTTATTCCAAAAGATGGAAAGTCAACCACTTTATACATTTTCCAGAAGTATGTTACAAGTTACTACATTATATTTTCTGGTTTCTCAAGGGGAATGTTACTCATGATTATAAGGGCCAAGTGCATTTGAAGTAAAATATATGAAATCTTCAAACAGATGGGAAGGCTTGGAAACCAGATTTTGGGTAGTGTTCAGGATGACTTTTTTTTGTACCAATAAAGAAAGCACCAGCCAAGAGGCAAGTCTCTATGATTTACAAGTTATTTAGCCCTGGGCTGGAGTGTGTGAATTACATGACTTGCTCATCTATAGCAGGACAGCCAGTTCTGAGCCCTACTTGGAAATGTCAGTTGTGTCATCGCCTTCCAGAAGATGTCTTTCTTTCTTCATGCTGTGATAGGGGAAGTCCTTCTGTGTATATGTTTGTCTTAATGGTTGATAAATAAAGCACTGTTGGCCAAGAGGGAAGTAAGATAGGTGGACTAGGACTCAAGGAGAATCTGGGAAATGTAGTCAAGGGAGGAGGGTCGCCATATGATCCCAGGAAGAGAGGACTCGTCAGGATGGCATTATGGGAAAGATAGGCCCTTATAGGATCATATATATATGTAGGAGTGAACCCCACAAAGCTATCAACCCAACAGGGCAGGGTCAAGGTAGAGATAAAAGGAAGTGAAAGGAAAAGGGGCTTCCCTTTTTCTCCTGGAAGCCAGCCACGCTTCTAACCCCTGGTCTGTGCGACTCTCTCTCTCTCTCTCTGATAAATAAATATATTGTTTTCCCTATATAGCTTCGAATACCGTAATATATATATATATATGTATATATATATATATATATTCATGGGTTAATACTTAAGACAGAACTAGCTAATTAGAAGCCCTGGACATTGGCTGACAGCATTGTAACTAATAGAGTCTCTGTGTGTTATTTGGGGTTGACACAGCTCTGGGACCAGGCTGGTAGGAAGAATGCTCATTACAATGCTGCCTCTTACTCTCAAATAACCATTAAAGACAAGGCACATACTGGCAAATTCTGAATTGGGATCCTGAGAGCAGAAAGAGTTTATTTCTCCCCTCTTACAGGAGCAGTCCCTCACCTGGTCACCTGGAAATCCCGGAAAACCAATGACTCCCCTTGGTCCAGGTGCACCTGGAGGGCCAGGGGGGCCCGGAGGCCCAGGCTGCCCATTTATCCCAGGCTGCCCTCTGTGTAGTCCAGGTGGTCCATCTCTTCCGGGATCTCCTCCTCCCCCATGCATCCCTGGGCCTCCTTTATCACCTGTTGAAGTTGAACATGTTACAGACTCCTTGACTGAAATCTTAGACTAAGTGAAGATAATACTGAATGGCTCAGTTCTACTTGTAAAAGACTGAGACAATGGAATTGGGGAGGTTGGCTTCTCTCCAAGCCACATCTGTGGTTTCTGTCTTTGGCAGCCTCACTATGAAAGAAGCTGACAGGAATAGGCTGAGGACATGGGTAGAAGGAGGGAATAGCCAAGGTCATTAGCTCCAGCATGCATACCTCAGAAATGAAGAAGAATTCAACCCAGAGACATTAAAGCGTTTTCTCCTAATGGCTAGGTAAAGAGAAACCCGAGATACAGTCCCAAAAGATCAACCCTGAACTCGAGAATAAGCACAAGTTAAGTTGTGAAAAGCCTTGCCCTGCTGTGTTTCAGAGGACCAGCAGCATGTCATTGGAATGCTTTTCAGAAAAAATAGGGTCCCTGATAGCCCCAGATCTGTAGATTCGGGGTGTGTAACTAAACAAGATCCCTAGGTGATTTATATTCACACTCTTCTTAGAAAGGGACTGGTCAAAATGACACAGGTAGCTCCAGATATTTACAACAGCTTCCCAAACAGAGTGGCTTTAAACCTGGAGACAGTCATTTACCTTGGTCCTAGTTTGGAATATCCAAAACTATAAATACATGTGAACTCCAACTATTTTTTTAGCATGGAAAAGCCAAAATGTTGCTGGAAAACTTAGCAGAGTGTAATTACAGTTAAGAAATGACCTTTCCTACTTCTCTGTTGGATGGAACGTTGCCTAATATCTGGGTTTGCCTGAATGAGCTATAAAACTGCAACTTGTTTGATAAGTTTGAACAACCTCAAGCATTTACCTCTCTGTCCCGGGAACCCATCATCTCCTGGAGGCCCAGTTTCTCCAGGATCTCCCTTTTTCGAAATGATGGCTATTTCTCCTGCATCGCCGGGAGGTCCTCTGTCTCCTGTAAATGTTACTTATATGAGACAAAGACAAACATATACATGCTACGTATGCACCTCATCTTCTCTGCATGTCACCTCATTTATAAATCCCATCTACCTCCACTAGAATGTATTAATGGGTCCCTCATTATCAGTACCAGAGACGGAACATTCCCTTCTTGTCACCACTTGTCCACCCCGGGACAGGGATGCAGTTGGTGCACAGAGTAAATTTGCAACATTCAACCCAAATCTCTCAGGATCCTCCATGAGTTAAAGGCCTTTGTAATGCTATCATCCACAAGACTGTTTACCCCATAGACTCTGAATCTTCCATCGCACACGTCCATCCAGTGTTCCATACCTGTCTCCCTCACCACCCTTTTTTTTTCTGCTCCTTATATTAAAGGAACAAACACATATTTCAATCTGGTTCTCCACATACAGACTTACAAAACGTAGGAAATGTGCAACATGTTCCAGCTTATTTGGAAACATTGCCCCAACCAAGCACTGAGCTGAGCTAGGTTTAGCAGACCAACATGATGAGAGTTGCTTGCTGAAAGAGAATCCGGTGAACCAATGGCTATAGCATTAGTAGTTTGACGTCAGCAGTAGTGAGAGTGTTTGTGGTGCTGGGGGTGTATTTGCACAGTTGTCATTGACAAACACTGTCAGTGCTGGGATTTTCCTCAGGGAGCATTTTAGGAGAGTTGACAACTGCAATGTTAGCATTGATCTAATTACTAATTCTCAGTGGAATGACTGGTAGTACAAGATGAATTATCTGCAAACATCAATTGTCTTAATGTAGCAAAGAGACTTTTGATCCTTATCTTTTTAAATTCCTTAATTCCATGTAGTTTATAGGCTGATAAAACAAACAAACAAACAAAATAACTATGGAATTGAAGAACTGAGAAGAAAAGGTCATTTGAATAAAACTGGAGATCATTTTCTCAGAGATCTTTAAGATTTAAAAACATCCCTTCTAAAGACTGTTGGGCATTGATTTTTCTGCTAGAAATGCTACTTTCTCTCCTGTAGCAGCAGCTGAGAGGCCAAAGAAAACATCTATACTGTAAATAGTTGTGGGGAGGGGGGAGGCACGGATTCAAAATATAAAACCCAAACAATATCTTATGGAAATTAAATATTTGTGAAATTTATATGCAAATCAAATTCCATTGTCCACAACTAAAATTTTGTTCCAATTTTCAATTTTATCTTGCTTGTGTGTTGTCTCTGGTGGTTTCCATGTGCCAAGGCCAAGCTGTAGTACTGTCACAGAGGCCACATGGCCTCCAAAGCCTGAAACCTTCTTTACAGATGTGTGTCCCTGTATCTGTAAATCAATGCATTAAGGACCCCTTGTTAGCATCTCCGTCATGAGAGTGATTCAATGACCTTAGTTACATGTAATATGATAGAAAGGTAAGGAAAACAAATTCCTAAGACATCACAGAACCACAGAAATGCAGAAACATGTTGATAGCATTTGATCAAACCCTGGGAATAAGCTCATGCAGCACCCCACCCCCATGCTGCTAAACCCACTTGCCTTTGGCACCTCTCTCTCCCAGGTCTCCCTGTGAGCCAGGCCAGCCCTTCTCTCCGATTTCTCCCCTTCTCCCAGGTTGTCCATCCGGGCCTGACCTTCCTCTCTCTCCTGGAAAGCCAGGGTAGCCTGGAAGCCCTGGGCGTCCTGATAAAATGAGAACAAGGAGTATTAGGAAGGAAAGCACTTTACAGCTAGCTGTAGTTGTATCGTGCTGGCCTGGCACCACAGTGATGGCAGCCCTAGTCACACAGAGCTAGCACCTAGACTAATCCATTCTTTGATGACCCGATACCTTTCTTATATATAAATTTTTATTTAAACTAGTACAATCTTATTTTCCATATTAATCCCAGTTCCCTCTTCCTCCCATCCTCCCATGGCCCCCACCTACTGGATACCTTTTGCTCCCCTATGTGAACTTTGTATGGGAATTTCCTATGCAGAACTTGGTTCAGGAAACCACAGAAAACAATGGTACCTAGGTGTCGAGTCTTTGAGCATGCCATTGTCCTTTTGGAAGCCTCATTCCAATTGTTCTGAGATATGGTAATCAACTGGTTAAAGTGTAAATACAGAGAAAAATCAAAGTGCCCTGGTCACAGGGAACTTGCTTCAGTTCCTGGAAGCTGAGGTCCCCTGCAGTCACAAAGGCTAAACTCACTCTTAAAGTGTCTTTGAGTTTTCTTTCGACAGGCCTGTGTGAACCGACATCCACAATAGCTAATGTGGTTCTTTCATGTTCCTGGTCATCCAGTGATACAAATTCCTGCCTAATACTTCAAGCTGAAAATAAGTCGTTAATTTGAACCTGACTGTGGTCTTACAATATCCGTGTTTTTCCACCCATTCCTAATTTCCCGACCCATAGACCTAACATGTAAACACTGTTGTTTGGGGGGGGGTCCTAACCCCATCATGTTTTAAGAGCCCTAAGAGGAAAGATGAGGGCAGAGGTCCTATCCAAAATGAAATGTGTTAGCCCTGACCTAATGATATCATCCGTGCAGAAGGGTCCTGTGAGCCCAACATCCCAAGGACTTTTACTAATTTATTGGCACCAGAACATTCTGTCACTAGAAAGAATAACACAGAGAGGAAAAGCTACATCTGAAAGGAGAGGGCAAAATTAAGCTAACTAATACATTCTATTAGTGTAAACCTTACCTAACTAGTTTCATTTGACATTGATTTTGAGTTAATGAGATCGGGAGAATTATTGGGAGACCACTACTCACCCTTTGGGCCTGGAAGGCCAGGTGAGCCATCTTCCCCAGTGGGACCTGGAATCCCAGGAGGACCTCGGAGACCATCTGCTCCTGGGAGGCCTGGAAGGCCAGGGAGTCCCTTCATCCCAGCTGGTCCAGAAGGCCCCATGTCTCCTCGTTGGCCTTTCCAGCCTGGGGCACCTGAGACAAAGCACAACAACCATGAGTCTGGAAAACTTAAAACTTTCTTCAACCATTCACAGGAAAAACACATTCTACAGAGCTTAAACTAGGTACGCAAGGCATATTAAACAAAAACAAAACAATATTTATCAGCTAAAGGAACAGGAACAACTTTGCTTCTGCCTAAGAACATATTTATCGGATGCTATAAAAGTGGGGGCAGATCATCTGAATGTTTATCCCCTGTAAGAATTAATGAAGATGATACAGTTTGTTCTTTTTTAAAAATATGAAGGCACAGAGATGAAAGCCAAAAACTGTACTTATATATGTTCTACATAGAGAAGAGGAAGAAGAGGATTTGGAGGAGGAGAAGATGAAGAAGGAGGAGGAGAGGAAGGAGAAGGGGAAGGAGAAGGAGAGGAAGGGAAAGAAGGGAGAAGAGGAGGAGGAAGTTTAGGAAGTTTCCTGGCATTTCTGAACCTTTGCCCCAGTGAACTTCAGGTTAGGCAGTTAACTGTGAAGAAAGATTTGTACAAATCAGAACAGTCAGAATTATTGATGCTTGAGATGATGCCATAGTAGCAAATTCTGTCCCAAACATTCCTGTTTTTTTTCAAGTGAGCATCTTGCATTTGGATAAAAGCAGCAACAGATGCATTACAGAATGCATGTCAATGAAATGAAGAGCATACTGGAGATTGTTGTGGATTATTATTTTAAGATGTGTTATATTCATTTATGCTGTAGAATATTTGTTTAATGATGCAAAGATATGTTGCATTCTTTTATGTTGCATTTGTTTAACTCTGTGAAGCTGTGTTATTTTGCCTGTCTAAAATACCTGATTGGTCTACTAAAGAGTAGAACAACAAATAGCAAGGCAGGGCTGGTAGGCAGAGAGAATAAATAGAAGGGGAAGAAAAGAAGAGGGAGGAGTGAGAAGAAGAGAAGGAGAGAGCCACCCAGTAACACAACCAGCAATGGAGTAAGAGGGAAAGACAGGAATATAGACTAGAAAAAGGTAAAGGCCAGAGGCAAAAGGTAGATGGGGTAATTTAAGAAAAGTTGACTAGCAACAAGCCAAGCTAAGGCTTGACATTCATACATAAGAATAAGTCTCTGTGTATTTATTTGGGAGCTGGGAGGCACCCAAAGAGTAAAGAGTAAAAATAAAAACCAGCAACAGGAGATAGCTACAAACCGAATGTGCTTCTCCAGAGATGTTATGCTGAATCTTAACCACCAATGTGAGAGGATTAAGAAATAGAGAGTTTTGAAGATGATTAAGTGTGAACATAACAGAGGTCTGTGATAGCTTGTGTGAGGACACTAGAAGGTGTCATCTATGTGGAAGAGGTTCTCGCCAGATGTTAAAACTCCTGGTATCTTGATGTTGGACTTTCTAGCCTCCTACTAATCAATTTTTGTTCTTTATAAATTACTCAAAGACATTTTGTTATAGTCAGCCCAGTGGACTAGAGGAGCCACTGAACACCCATGTGAGAAGATAGACACTCATTCTTGTGCCAAGAATGCAAGGTACCAACCTTCAGGAATGACTTCCTCAGGATATGAGGCAGGCCTGCTTGAAGGCTGCTAAGCTCACATATAATGCAACCCACCCTGTATGCAGCCTCCAGCCAGCTCCATACATATTGCCTGTCTACAATTTTGAGAAGTGACACAGGCCAATATGGAACTCATGAATAAAAGGTTCTTTGCCTCTGACTTGGTACTCATGCTTCTGCCAGCATCCATACGTAAGCAAAAGGCAAACTTTCCGACCATAAGTAGGGAACATCTAGATACTTCATGGTTTGACACCCTGCTGGCACTTACCTGGATTTCCGGGAGCTCCAGGAAGTCCTGGTTGTCCTGGGATCCCTGGAGCACCTCTTTCACAGGAGTGGCCAGGAGGACCTGGGATCCCTGGAAACCCAGGACTTCCTTCTCTGCCTTTGGGACCTTTGAGACCTGGAGATCCAGGGATGCCGGGTGGACCTGAAATAATGATACATTAGGGACATTCATGAGTTAACACTGTATAGATGGCCTATGACCTCGCTCATGCATGTCAATTCTAGAAATAAATGAGTTGATTCTGACTCTGGGCTCCATGAGCTAACACTTGGAATTGGATATGGATTTTCATATCATAGATACAACTCCAAGTGAGTGTGTAAACCATGCCTTGCTAAGGGAGCTACCTGATAAGCTTATGGATGTCAAACAGGTTAGCTAGGGAAGCAAGAGATCATAGGCTAGATTCATTCTATCACCCTTCACCTCTGTCGCAGATTTATACCCAGATATATAAGATGCACCCAATGTGTGCTCCATGAATTTACATTTGATGGGAGGTCTTATCAAATTTCTATTGGACTTCCTTGGAGCCTGCTAAGCCCCAAGCCTCACTGCCAAGCCCCTGAGTGGCTAGACTTCACACAGTGGGAACTAACTGCCTACTGCAAGCAGTAGAGGGCACAGGAAACACAATGGGTAAAAGTTTATCTGATGTGATCAGTGCCTATTTGTAATCATGAAACGTACATGCACTCGCTGCCTCGAGTACCAAAGTATAAACATTCTTTCTGGATCAGGCCAAAGCTGAGCAGACATCCTTAACAAAGAGAGACCAGAGACTTCATACCTTCAGACCCTGGGCATCCCGGGTAACCTTTGTGTCCTTTAATGCCTGGCACTCCTGGAAAACCCCTTTCTCCAGGGGGTCCTGGGTAACCAAATGCAGGGTCTCCTGGGATTCCTCTCTGGCCATCCATTCCAGGAGACCCAGGTGGACCTGGAGGTCCAATAGGGGAGGTCCCCCTTTCACCTCCGATTCCTGGATCTCCCATGTCACCACGAAAGCCTATTTAACAACCACAACAAAACTGCTATATGTATGAATATAAGACCAACAATATAAGGACAATATTTTGATTGAAAACCAGAGGCATGCTTCAGAGGTACTTAACGGGTAAAATTTCTATGACTTTAGAGAACTGATAGGTAATACTCTTTTGCCACTCTATAAGTGATACCAATTGCTCTTTATTGTTGCTGTTGTTGTTTTATCTTTTAGAACAGAATCTTCATCCAGTAACGGATGGAAGCAGATGAAGAGATCCACATCCAAACACCTGGCTGAGCTACAGAAGTCCAGTTGAAGAGAGGGAGGAGGGATTATGTAAGGCGGGATATGTAAAGATCATGATGGGGAAACCCACAGAGACAGTGGGAGTTCATGAATGCTAGACCAACAAGCTGGGGAGACTGAATGGAACTGAACCAGACCCTCTGCATGTGAGCAACAGCTTTGCAGCCTGGTCTATTTGCTGGACCCCTGGAAGTGGAACCAGGATCTATCCCTAGTGCATGAGGTGGCTTTTTGAAGCCCATTGCATATGGTTAGATGCTTTGCTCAGCCTTGATACGGGGCTGGGGGGGGGTTGGTCCTGCCTCAACTGACTGTGCCAGGCTTTGTTGACTCCCTTTGGGAAGCCTTGCCCTTTCTGAGGAGTGGATGGGGTGGGCTGGAGGGAGATATGGGGAGGGGGAACTGTAGTTGATATATAAAATGGATAAAAAAAATCTTAAAAATTTAAATTTATTTAGCCGGGCGGTGGTGGTGCACACCTTTAATCCCAGCACTCGGGAGGCAGAGGCAGGCGGATCTCTGTGAGTTCGAGGCCGGGATGGACCCACAGCCTCCAAAACAATACAGAGAAACCCTGTCTCATAAAAACAAAAAAAATTAAATTTATTTATTTATTTGTGGAGGCAGGCAGGTGCACACATGGAGTCAGAGGACACAACTTGTGACAGTTCCAGGGATGGAACTCTAGCCATTAGACTTGGTGGCAAGCAAATTTTTCTGATCGAAACATCTTGCCATCCTCCTTAAAATTTTTTAACATTTATTTGTTTGTATTTTTGAGACAGGGTCTCACTCTGTAGCTTAAGCTGCCCTGGACCATTGTACATATCTCAGGATGGCCTAAAACTCCTGGTGATTCTCCTACCTCCACATCTGGAGTGCTGGGCTTGCAGGTGAGTGCCACTATGCCCAGCCTCCTAGCAATTTTCCTCCTCTGGCAGCCACTGCTCTGGATTGAGTGGATTCAAGCACACAGTGAGCGCGTGACTGCCAGCAGCTAAGGGTTCCCTCTGGAAGGAGTCTCAGCTGCATAGGATTCTGTTCATCTACAAGATGTCACAGCACAGCTGAGGTCTATGTCACACACACACACACACACACACACACACACACACACACACACACACACACACACACACACACACACCGTCCCTTCCCAAGAACCACTCCTCCATTATGTCCGGATCTCCTCCATTATCTCCACATCCCCTGCCAGTCCCTTAAGGATGCTCATCTTTAGGAATATATAAAAATTCCTGATGCAAGTGTTCCCAAAGCAGAGGAAGCCTTCACTCACCAGGTGGACCTGGAACTCCAGGCCTTCCTGGTTTGCCCTGCTGGCCTTTCTGCCCGACTGGACATCTCATACCCGGAGCACCAGGGGGACCTGGAAACCCCTTCAGACCTAAGCAAGAAAAAAATAAAACAAAGATTCAATTACACAGAAACAAACTAGACAGGGACAACAAAAAAGGGATTTGGGAGTGTCTGTGTTAATTGTCTTCTGGAATATGCCAATTTTATGGACATAAAACTGTTTTCCATCGTGGTTCACAAAAACATTCTGTAGCCACTGTTCCAGGTAAGTGTTTCAGGGTATTTTCTCAGAACCTGTACTATGAGGAATTCCTCCTGAGAGCTTTTCACACATGCACCACCATTCACACAAATTTTAGTGCCTTCCGTGGCAGATCTGGAACACAAACCCACAGGCCTAACCTGTTCTTTAGGAGGACAAGGTGGTGGCCAGAGCCTACCCTGCTGAGAAAGTACAAAAGGAGCCCTACAGTATACACAGCATAGGTAGAGTACCTACTAAAATAATCAGGATTCCATCTTAAGTCCCCGATTTCCTCCTGTTAGCACAGCTAACATAACTTCTGAATCGTGAAGTTTGGAGGAGGTACAAGTGCATGGGTATATACCATGGGAATAGCAGGAGTGTTAGCTTAGGAAACTCTGGCAGACAATCAAAGTTTCTCATTCATCCCCAGTAAGTTAACAGCAAAATGGAATGAATATTCACAGAACCAACCAGAAGTTTATCACTCTACAGGTATAAAATTGAGTCTCCACACTCTTATAGCTACATTGTGATGAGTGGAATACATGATCCTGTCTTTGAGTTGGAGCTTGGTCACATGACTCACTTTAGTCAATAGGATTTTGTTTTTATTATGAATCACACAAAACACGCACACACGCATGTATGCACACATTCACGTGCACAAACATAGTTACGTAATAGATTATAGATTTGAAACTATTTGGGTCAATGAGCTATGAACTGCATGGTATAATCTGAGCTGTGAAGTGATTCTCGGGGACTTGACCTGCCCTCTTACATTCCTGCAACCCCATGAAAGGATCACTCATTGGTTTTTGCAATAGAACACATGTTGCTGATCTGGACTTAACTTAGGACCAGGGTCACACCAATACACACTGTCCTAGATTGACTGAGTCCCCATGGTTCTTCAGATTCACAAGACACAGAACAGGTGTGTATGTGCTTGCAGCTCACTGAGGTTCTCAAACTGTTTGGAATTACTGTGATGGAAATGAATGGTTCCAGAAGACAGCAGCAAGTCAGGTACAACTCAACCTGTAGATGCAGTTGGTTGTGTGTGTCTTGTGTTTGTACTCATGAACAGAAAGGCCAGAGATCAATGTCAGGTACCCTTCCTCTATCTGATTCTTATTGATTATTGATTTATTTATTTATTCTTTTTCCTTTTTGAATTGAAAAAACTCATACAATATATTCTGATCATGGTTGCTCCTCCTACAATTCCTCCCAGAGCCTTCCCAGCTCACCACCCACCAAACTCCCCACCCTTTTTCTCTCTTGGGTTTTCTCACTGAATCTTGAACTTACAGCTTCAGCTAGACTGGTTTGCTAGAGTCCCCAAGACCCTGTCTGTATCCACCTTCCCAGCTCTGGAATTACATGTCCATATTCAACATTCAATTTGCTGCATGGGTGCTAGAGATCTGAACTCAGATTCTTCTTATTCTTGCATAGCAAGAATTTTACTGACTGAACAGTCTGCCCAGACTTCTTCTATCCTTGTGTAGGACAAGAAAGGCAATGTTTACTAATAGTCCTGGTACCGACAGTTTAATAAGGTTTAAAATCAAAGTAAACTTTAAAGACATGAATATGGATCTGTGGTTTGTTCAGCTAAAACAAGAGATTGACTCAAATGCATGGACTTGTATTCAGGGATGTTGCTACAAGAGCAGTTTCAGGCTCTGTCTAATCAGAACCTGTCTCTCTTGGAAGGTAGAGTCTCCAGGAAGGTGGCATTTCCAACTCTTGGGACACAGGAAGAGATTAAATATATAGCTTTAAAATTCTCAAGAGCATACATGTTAACTGACAGGTGATGAAACCAAGGTAAATCTGGAAAAGCCTACAGGAAGGACTCAAACCTGGGGGTGGGGGAAGGCACAGGAGCTAATGACTGGAACATTCCTCCTAGTTTCCTGTCCCTCAAGACCTTACACTAATTTCAGAAGTACTCTGGCTGGGAGGATTTCATGTGAGTTTATCTATAGTCTTTGTTCTTTTTTACTTTGTTTCTTTTACTCTGGAAAGTGTGGAGGACAAGAATGTTACACTGGTGATACCTGGAGGTCCATCAAATCCTGGAGGGCCCGGATTCCCTGGGTAGGTTACATTACAAAAAACGGTGTCACCTGGAGAGGAAAAGAAGAGTGACATTCAGATAACTGAGCACTACTGAATGCACTGTGAGTCCCTGTGACAGCTCTTTCAAGATATTCCACACGGTACATTGGCGTGCAGAGGAAGAGACATGTCGGGGCATCGTTGGACCAGCTTTCTAGATCTCTCCTTAAACCCACATCTCAGCTGCCAGAGCAGTTACAAGCGGTATGAGAAAGGCATTGATTCTAAGAAGTATCTGCTCTAATAACCTTGGAGAGTGTAAATTATTAATATCAATGAAAGTTTGTAAGCCCATGGATAGAAAATGTTGACAGGCCATGAAGAATCCCTGGGACTCAGTACTGAGTTCTTGCACACCAGGGAGTAACACTGATGAACAGGTTATGCTGGATGTTAGTGACGGCCACCGTTTTTTAGATTTCTATGGGGCAGGTTCTTAAGACATATTGTGTCATTTTTCCAGTGACTCAGCGATGAAGGTACTGTCATTCCCAGTATAATTGGCAAAGTAACTCAAAGCCTGTGCCTCTCTGAGTCCTCATGTCCTGCTAAAACCTGAACTTTCACTTTTATAACAATCCTCATCATTTATTACTTCATGTGCTTTCAAACTGAAATGTGAGACATAAAAAAAATGAAACTGCGTTTTTCTGAGTCTCATACCACAAAGGCAGTCATTTTTTAATGTGTTGTCTAAACGAGCCAAACCTAGTCATTTTATCCCCAAACTTTACAGTTAACACTATATGCAAGGTGTGATACATGTTACAAAAGAAAAAAATCTTAAATAAACCTCTTTCTGTCAACCTTAACCCTGAAAGTAATTTTCGACGTTCATATAGCTATCAGATATGCCTAAAATGTCATCATTTTTCCTCTCCCTAAAATGCTTACAAGTGTGTTTTCATGGACAATACTAGTGTGTCTTTCATCCAAATATATCGCATTATCTCAAGAGTCTAAAAATTTATGCTTGACTTAAACACAGTGAGACTCTACGCATTCGTTGATAGGGAAAAATTAGAAATTAATAAAAAGCAGTTTAGATGTGACAACAACTATAGCAGCAAGGAGGCTTGTTCTAAATTTGGGGGACTTGTTCTAAACATTGGTTATGCTATGCTTTTAGTTGCCATACAACCTGCAAGATTTCTATAGCACCTGGATGGAATCTGTTTAGCCAGCCTGCCTGACAAAAATCCCCTTTAGTTTTCGTGATTTCAATTAATAACGTATCATACAAATACACAAAATTACCTTTCTGGCCCTTCATGCCATCAAATCCCCTCAAGCCTGGACGCCCTGGCTCTCCTGGTTGGCCTCTCTCTCCTGGTGGGCCTGGAATTCCCAGTCCTGGAGGCCCCACAGGTCCTACTCTCCCTGGAGGACCTGGCAGTCCAGGAAGTCCTCTCTCACCCGGGGTCGCATCCTTGTGGTCACCCTGGAAATGTTAGGTCACATACCTCTTGTAAATGTTACAAAGCCAATGAACTCAAATCAGTCTGCATGTTTAAAAGCCCAGATTTAAAAAGACAGTAGCTCTGAAGTAAGCATGACTTAAGAGAATCAATTTAGAGTCTTCCTAACATTTTATATTCATACTTTGCATATTTACATACATATATGTGATACAGATATATATGCTGTGTCTCAAATACAGAAAGTGAATTGTGTTATACCTTAGGAACAGACTAAGAACTTGTATGCAGAACCGCTAACAACATATATAACCTATAATCAAGTGATGTGGCAGATCCACACACAAATGAAAAACTCAAGTGAGTTTTTTGTATGAAATTGACTTCTTACATCTTTATGAGAAGATACCCAGATAGGCTCCATCACCCCCCCATGTCTTTGGCTAAAAATACAACGAGTCTTTATTCCTACTACATGTGAGTCTGATCTATAGCTGCCTGGCTTGCTTGTATGAACATATCAGAAAATGAAATTCTACAGCAGAGCTGCACATACTTGGGGCCCAGGATCCCCTCTTTCTCCAGCTTGTCCATCCTGACCATCTTGCCCACGTGGCCCAGGAAATCCTGGTGGCCCATCATGTCCTCTTTCTCCTTTTTGTCCTGGGAAAAGGAGGCAAAAGACCTGTCAGCTCTCGTACATGGGGAGTGAAATAGAAGAGAGGAAAGGACTCAGTTAAGTGTAATGGAGTTTCACTCTGGGGGGAGTGGTCAAATTCCCTGAGTGACTCAGTTGCCCAAAGTCACCCAAACCATTATAAAAACAAAGGGAAGATTGGCAGTTGCAAAACTACTGGCTCTCTTTATTAGAGAAATCCTTCTTCTCCTATTTTAGCAAAGAGGTGATCTGTGGAGGGATGTCATGGGAACTTCCTGCCTCAGTGTCAGTGCATGTAACTTTCTATCCGTGGTCTTAGTGGATGGGAGAGTTGACAGTAAGATTATTGCCCCAACTCTACTGTCCTTTCGGGAGTTATTCCTCTGCCTCTAGCCGATATAGCATCTGTGATTTCAAGGACTTATGCATAGTATTCCTGGGTCACATAGCCCAGACAAAGACAGACTTGTGGGAACAAACAGACATGAACCGATGAGACATGAAGGATTCCGAGAGAGCTTCATGACACCATGCAAGACCGTATATCTGTTTGTTCCAGTGAGAACCCTACACCTAGATTTTTATGTTCTGTCTAGTAGGTCAATAAATTACATATTTCCCCAAACAACCTCAAGATAAGCATCTGTCACTTGTCATCGGAATGCCATTGACTAATAGAGGACACCGCAGTGCAGTGAGCAAGCAGAAGGCAAGTCAAAAGAGATTTTTGCCCCAAACTTAAGTTCATCACAATGAAGATTTGTGTATGTCACTAAAGGGACATTTATGTTCTCAAATAAGAGGTAGGAGATTCAGTACTGAATACCCACACCTTCTGTGAAGGTTAGGAGATGCTCTTTGGGGAATCTGAACAATCCTAAGTTATATACAATTGACCTGCAGTCACTGGGGAAATCAATGCAAGTGGATGCCCATAGATCATTCATAAAATGTCAGAGGGCTAGGTGATCAGTCACGCTCACCTTTCACTGTTGATGTGACCATGTCACCCTTTGCCCCTTTGTGACCAGGTGGCCCCAAGGCACCAGGATTTCCCTTGGTGAAGAAAAAATTAAGAATTGTGCATTAGGTTAATTTTGATAGGGAAGAGGTCATTGATATTCTTGTCTGGCTCATACCTTCTCCTCTCCTCTAAAGCTCTTGTTTAAAGGTCTTGGTTTGACACTCTCCATTTTACCCATTTCTCACCTTTCAGAATGCTTCTATTATATAAAACCCTAAGTTCTTGGTGCTAAAAGTCTTTGTAAAGTCTGTATCTTAGCAGAAATGTATCAATGCCTCTTTTATCTTAGCAGTTCACCACAATTAAGACATCATGGAGTGAGGGCTGGAGAGATGGCTCAGTGCTTAAAACACTTCCTGTTTTTGCAGGGAATACCCATTTGGCTAGCAGCACCCACATAGTAGCTCTTACGACCCTAGAAAATTAGAATCATGCCTGGGATATAGTAGATACTTAATAAATAGTAATCAGTTAAATAAACGCATGGATGATGGATGGATGGATGGACACAAGAAAGTCATTAGGTCATTTAGTCATTAAGATGTTTATAGGTTCAAAACACAAAATGCATATCACACATTAAGTTAGAAAGGAACATGCTAAATTCTCTCTGCGTCTGTCTTGTTTAACTGAAGAGATTATTATCAGTAGGAGTTACTTACTGGTGGCCCTGGAGGTCCTTCAACACCAGGCTGGCCTGGATCACCTTTCTCTCCAGGCCATCCAGGAAGCCCTAAGTCTCCTTTACTTCCTTGTCTTCCAGGAAGTCCTGGAGGGCCAGGGGGTCTCATGGGACAATGTGGACAGGCACAGAGTCCCTCATTTCCTAGGCAGAGATATAAAGTCAGCTTTGACATAGCTCCTGACAAAACCCCAGTAAGTTTTTTTTTACTACAAAAGACAGTGTGACCAGAAAAGGAGTAGGTCTGCATTGCACAATTCTTATCACAGAAAAATGGGACTGTGTGGCATGTGACTGGGGCACACCGCGTGGCAGAATGGGGTCTGTGGCATGGGCTATGTGGAATGAGACCATGTGGTAAGAGGCTGGAGTATAGAATGCAGCGGGATGGGATCTGAGGCATGGCCTATGTAGGATGAGAAAATGTGACTGGGGATAGAGCATGGAGCATGGTAGAAGGGTAGATGGCATAGTCTATGTGAGGAGAAAGCATGTTACAGGAGGGTTGAAATGAAGCATTGGGCGTCGGGTGGATGTACCTGTAGCATGGTCTATTGGGAATGGGTGCACAATTTCTAAATAAATGGAATCACATTTTGTGCCTTAAACTCACCCAAACCTAACCTAAAATTCTCGTGAATAATGGAAAGTCTTTTTTTTTAAATCTGTTACTGAGGAAAACAAAATTAAATAAATTATAGTAAATGTATAGATAAATTAATTATGGCATGATCCTGAATAATCAATGAAATACAATACAGAAGGGATTATTGATTGAGTGGAACATTATAATTGCTAACTCACTACAAAACATTCCCTAATGATTAGGACTTTCAATATGAAATGGGAAAGTCAAATAGATTTGTGTTTATATTCTTATCTGTCTGACTCAGTGATTCAAAAGACCATGACAAGTTAGAGTTGGGTGGGGGGAGGACATAGCCATGGGCTTTAGTGAGTCCAGAAAACATGAGATCCACACAGAGAAACTACATTAAAACATAAAGATGTCTAATCTGCACAAGAGGACCTTGTGAGCAAAGTTGCCCCTTAAAGGCAAAAACGTGTGGTCTTTACACTCTGACGGCCTGCTCTTTAGTCTGTGGGCAGCAACCCTGCATGTAGCCAAATATGGGAGGTCACAAAACACTGGAAACAGTGAAAGGCAATGGCCAAAACGGAATTCAGACAGAGTGCATAATCAGTCCAAGGGGTTTCTGTCAGGGTTCACCCATGCTGTAGCCCATGGCTTCACTGAAGTATTTTTTCTGAACACACAACATATGCACTTTGCACTGTGCCTGCCACGGTGCCCATCCATGCTGCCTGAAATCCCTCATCTCAGACCCCACTCCGCTCTGGGCTAGGAGTGACAGTACAGCTACCGTTCATACAAGGCTCTCTCCTCTTAAACAACACAATGGTTTAGTTATGGAGAAAACCTTTCAATATTGCCCCATCATCATTCCTCAGCATTTAAATATTTAATTGATTTATCTTTGGATTGGATTATGCTAAAATGTTTAATTTTTAAAATTTCTTTGCGGTTGTTGACTTGACTTAAAAAATAGTTGTTAATAAATTTTGGCTTGGGATTAGGATAGAATTCCCTAAAATGAACCTATATATAGTTCTTTTGTTTTAGGCTTTGTATTAATGCAAAGCAATGTTCTCAGTGTTGATTATAAAATCAAGATATCAGCTCACTCTCAAAAACAATGAAGATGGTCTACATCCTACAGCATTAAACATTTATCCAAGATTTAATTCTTTCCATAAACGCTTTTGTCTCATGAGTATGCAAACTTGCTTCCATGTTTAATAAACAGTACTTATGTGTGTTAAAATTATTTTAATACAAATTTCTCAATTACTTATTATCAGCACAGTTTTGATTTGTATACCGATTGTATATACCCATACACCCGAAGCTGCGCAAAAGCTTCTCTGGTGCAGATGGGTCATGAGTGACAAAGTGTAAGAAGCTCTTGCCTGACAGGTGAACTTGAGTTTTGGTGAGTTATTCGCACCACAACACCACTGGTACGCAGTTCTTATGGGGAGTAACAAAGGTGAATAATAACCCTGAATGACACACCAGGTTGTCCCTCTCATAGACACGCTTGCCCTGGTCCTCCATCTGGGGCTGCAATACAAAAATACTTGCCTTTTTCTCCTTTGGCTCCACTTCTTCCTGGGGGACCCATTTTCCCCTTTTCTCCCATTGGTCCAGGGCACCCAGGGTGACAATATGTAACTATATGGAGGCAAGAGGGAGGTTGGCAGACAGAACCACGTGATTTTAGTTAACGTCTGGTGGAGGGCACCAGTGTGGTACACTCAGTCTCTCCCTCTGTTTCCTGTCTGTGCTATGTTATATTTCACAATTTCCCATCCTCCTCTTTCTCTCCCTCTCTCTGCCTCTCCTCTCCCTCCCTCTCTCCCCCCCCTCTCTCTCTCCCTCCACATATAGACCATGCAATTTTCATGACATGTTTCTTCTACCATAATCATTGACAAAGACATCCTTAATGCCAGTCCTAGGTTACTGGGGCTGCAGAATAAGATAATAGATAAATACAACAAAAACCAAAGCAAAATAAATCACGAACAACAAAAGCTAGGGTCAGAATATGGCAATTATTATCTTTTCCCCTTCATCGACCGATTACCAGATTATGAAGAAAACACAAAGCATGACTTGCAAAAGCAAAAGAAATTGACACAACCGGTTAAAGATGACAGAGAAACTGCAAATGATGCACTCTACATTTTGCCAGCATTCCAGTAGGATAAAAGACAGTAAAACAACAACAACAGAAGGTTTAAAAAAATTCAGTAGATCCTAAAGATACTGAGATCAAGCATCAATGGAAAATGACAAGGGAAATAAGAAATGAAAAAATAAAATGCAGATTTCACACCAGAGTCTCCCCCTGGAGTTTAAGGAGTAGAATGACAGCGAGGCTCAAAACAATGATTTGGTAATGAAATATTTAGATGGGAAGCCCCTCTCAAAAAATGTTTTGCAGAAGATAAAACAGCCCTTCAAAAATGGAAAAAACAAAGTTTCAAGAAAAATAATGTAAAAAAAAGATAATTAAGACAGTGGAGAGGGGCACTATTTTATATTGGATAAATAAACAGCATGCTACAAAAGGAAATACTGAAAGATAACAACAGCATGAACTAAACTCATAAATAAAAATATACACAATAATTATGGCAGCCAAAAAATCTAAAAATTCAGTGAGAACTGGAAGATGGGTGTTGAAGAAAATTTCAAAAAAGCTTCCAAAAATGGAAATCGATTTCAAACATGTGACCAGACAGTGAAACAGTGTAGAAGTTTTCAGTGGTCTCCCTGGAGGCTAGAAAATGATCCCAAGAAGAAAGATGTCCATCTCAGTTTTTTATAGTCATTTAAACTATCCAACAGATAACCAAAGGTATTTTCAGATATGTGTGATCCTCAGCTTAATCTCTTATCGCTGATCTTTCTCTGGAAGCCTAGTGTGAGAGTAAACAAATGAAACAAATCTAACTAGTGGTAAGTAAGGAGCACAAGAGACACAGATGGAGTAACACTGAATGATCATCCACGTTTTTATCACTGTCCTTTTCACAGTTGCAACAAAACAGAATCAGCCTAGATGTCCATCAACACATAAACAGACCATGAACATATTGATTATGCATACAATGGAATTTTATTCTATGTTTAAGAACAATGTAATTATTAAATTGGCAGTAAAATGGGTAAAATTAGAAAATATAATATTGGGGTAACCCACACTAAGAAAGACACATGTGGATCCTAGCTTTCAGAGGTTGAATATGTGAATTTGAGTGGGAGAAAGTGAGGAGAGGAGCCAGGAGACTAGAAAGAGGTATATAAGAAGGGAAAGAGGCCTGAAGGGAAGGCATGGGAGGGCAATGGAGCATATGAGATGTGGAGATCATTGAAGGGGGAGGGCTGAGCAGAGATGGAGGAAGGGGGAAGGGACACCAAAGAGATCAATCACATGTAAACATGTACATTTTTCTTGTCATTATTTCTAGGAATAGAGCCTGGGTCCTCTGAAAGAGCAGCCAGTGCTCTTAACCAATGAGTAATTTCTCCAGCCCAATCAATATTTCCACAATAGTGTGTTTAAATATTGGATACTAAACAAGTTTTAAAATATAACTGTGAGAGAAAATCTTCAAATATCTCAGCAATAAGTCAAAAGCACACCTTTACTAATTGAAAAAAGTAAAAAAAAAAAACCTCCAGGAAACATTCATCTGGAAGTAATACTGTAAGATTATTTAATGAGTTAACAGTGTCATAATGACAGATACAAAACTTTGGGAGCTTTGAGGTTAATTTCAAATAGCCAAACTTAAAGTCAATCAAGCATGGACACACACACATTCACAAAAGACAATTTACCAACTGTTTCTGTAAATATTGAATGTATCATTACAGGCTGAGCTGGTGTATAGATAGCATTTATAAAACATTCCATGGAAACAAAGAATATTTGTTCTATAAACCCAATTATGATAATATCACTCTTAGTAGCCAGTGAGAATGGAAAATATGTACACATAGAATGGGGTGTGGTGAACTATGGTTAATTCTGTAATAAGGAGTCAAAAGCCAATTAACAAAATGAAAACTTCAGCAATAGAAATACAAGTGTGCTGGATGGCAGTACAGAGACAAATACCAAAAGATTCAGCTACGTGTGTGGAAACAGCTGTCTCTGAGGAGGAAGGACCAGAAAAAGACAAAGCCTGGCATTGCTTTTCTGCATAGCAGGCTCTGTAGAACAGCTCAACTTTTAAACCAAGCTCACATATAAGTTCAATAAAGATAAAAACTATGTTGACAAAACAAAAATCTATCGAATTATGAAATTTTATCATTCATACTTAAATTCACAACTAATAAGTTGCACATATTTTAATTGATAGCTCAATGTCATTTTCCATATTTATAAAAATAGTTTGTATATTACCAACTTGAGTTATAAACTCTTATACAAGTTTTTAAGTATTTAGAAAACTGTACTTTCTGAGTAAACCTGTAAAAATGAACTTCTGCATAAGAGCTAATAAAGACACATGAGGAATATTTTACCATTTGATCCAGGGGGACCCTGTGGTCCTGGTGCTCCAGGCAGGCCAGGTGGTCCTGGATTCCCTGGTCTTCCTGGGGCACAGTGCAGTCTTCTAGGAACACCAGCTTCCCCTGGAAATCCTGGGAGACCAGGAATCCCTGGTGGCCCAGGAGGTCCCACTATGCCTGCAAGAAATATTAAAAATGGAAATTACAGCCGGGCGGTGGTGGCGCACGCCTTTAATCCCAGCACTCGGGAGGCAGAGGCAGGCGGATCGCTGTGAGTTCGAGGCTGGGCTGGACCGACAGCCACGAAAACAATACAGAGAAACCCTGTCTCGTAAAAAAACAAAAAAAAATGGAAATTACACATGTTCTCAAGAGTAATGCTTCTACAGAAACCACAGATTAGCACATTTAAAGGCAAATGGTTAGAGCTGGGCATCACACATTATGAAACAAGTCACACACAGAAAGAGAAACACCCTGTGACCTCACTCACAAGTGAACTCTAACAGTCCAAATCATAGAAGGAAGAGTAGAGTGGCCATTGTTGGCAAAGAAGGAAGTGGAGAGTATGGAGAAATTGATCAAGGGGAGAAAGTTTCAGGGGGGCTCAATAAATTCTGGAGATCCAATATACAGCATGTAGAGGGCAGTTGACAAGACACACTCTATACTTGAAGTTGCTAAGAGGAAAGATCTTAAATAAAATTCCTCCTTCCATACATATTCAGGCACACATGCATACAAACCAATTCTGACGATGCAGGCATGGTTGGTGTATTATTCCACTAGACAGTGGTGAGCACCTCCCTGTGTGCAGAACATCAAGTTGTATACTTCAAATAGACACAACCTTAGGTCAGTGGAAAGAAGAGAGAGAGAGAGAGAGAAAAAGAGAGAGAGAGAGAGAAAGAGAGAGAGAGAGAGAGAGAGAGAGAGAGTGCACTAGTCTAGAGGGCATGCACACCTGCTGACCAACACTTGGGAAATAGAAACAGAAGGATCATAAGATTAAGGCTACCTGGCTACACAGAAAGATGTACCACTACATAAAAAAAAAAAACAAACAGAACAAGTCTGATTTCTGTATAGAAAGTAGGAGCCACACTACAATAATCTGAATAAACTCTAGTAAAGAAAAGGAAGAGCAGGACACAGTAAAAAAAAATTATCAGACTTGAGGCAGGAGAGGTGGCTCAGTAGTTAAGAGCACACTTGCTGCTCTTCTGGAAGGACCACAGTTCAGTTCCCAGCACCCACATCAGGTGACTCACAAACACCTGTAACTCCAGATCCAGGGATTCAATATCCTCTTCTGGCCTTTGAGAACATCAGCACAACATGGCATGCACGGGCACACATTCCCATGAAAATAATTAAATAAAAACCTTGTAAAACTTGACTATCCCATACACCAAATTGCATCGCTGTCATTGAAGGAGGAGCTACAAGTGACGGGGGAACGTGTTTTCTTACTTCTCCACATTATTTAGGTTCACTGACACAGGCATATTTCACTTATTTGAAAGTATTGTATTCTTCAATCTTTCCACCCCATTAACTCACAAAATTAACCCAAACAAACCTATTGGCATGTGTAGTGAATAAAAGATGTGCTCTCAATCATGTATGTAGGAGAGACCTCTAAATTTTTCTTCTTGGCACATATGCACAAATAATGACTGTGTATGTGATTAACGTGTTCATCTGCTGGATTTCAGGGATCTTTCCACTGTGTATACTATGTCATAGTAGGCACAGATACAATCAGTAGTAGTAAGAGCCCACAGATCAAACTCAGGTCCCCATGCTTGTATAAGAAGCAATTACTGACAGAGCCATCTTCCCAGCACAGGATTAACTATTTTTAAAAGGAATTTAGAGCCTTCTTCTACATTTGAATATGCTGCTCCCTCTAGGTTTCTATTTCAAACCACTGGATGTATGATTTTACTATAAACAAGCCCCAAAGGAGAAAGCCAAGACCAGAGTCCAACAGTTTCTGACCAAGAGAGTATTCTTTCTGACTTATATAATCCTGGGTCAACTAAACCCATACTTCAGCCTCCAAAGACTGACTGCACCACACAAACCTTGTTGACACTGCTGTTGTCAGAGAAAGAAACTAGACATGGGGAGAAGTGAACAAGAACTTGGTAATTAGTGGTTGAGTAGCTCACCAAATCCTTAAACTTCCTCAGTAAATACAAGAGACACAAGCTGGGCAAAATATATACTCAAGGTTTTTTCTCCTGCAAGGTTTCATCTGTTCTCCTGGGTTTACAGAATACAAATAGGCTTCAAACTCTTAGTCCCAATCTTACTGGAATATTGTCCAGCACAGCTCCCAGAGGGGCCCTTGGTCCTATGGCAGCTAGACACTTCCCTAGGCTTCTGTCAAAGGTAATGTGGTCTGTGATTTCCTCCATTCTCTTTTTCTTTAGGGTGGGAGAGGAAGAGCTCTTCACTTTAAGTAGAAGGTTTTTTTTAAAAATCATTATGTTGATTTGTACCTGGGTAGATGGATGGGGGGTCTTGTGAGCACATGTGAGCTGGGAGAATCTACCAGAATGGTAGCACAACTCAGTAAATACTTTAGCTCCAGCAGAAGTTTCAAATCCTCTCTGCAAGTGGAAATCTGATGGAAGGCATGTCACACAATACTTACCTCCAATAGCTCTAGTTGGCTGAGAAAAAAAGTATAATATATATCACATATTATATGATATAGAATATCTATGACATATAACACTATATAAATATGTAGTGTGTGTGTGTGTGTGTGTGTGTGTGTGTGTGTGTGTGTGTGTGTGTAGGAACCTATATTACTTTTCTTGATTGGCTTGAATCTGGGGATATTAGAAATCCAGGGCCATTGCTATAACACAGAATTGAGCTTTCTGGGCCTGCAGTGCACACAGGCAACTGTCCTTCATAAATACTTTTAAGGCAACTTCTGTATCAGCCTACATTAAGGATTACAGCTGGTATGGATATGATGTAGAAAATCCACTATAACATATGGTAGATTAATACCTGGACAAGTTTCCCCTGATCTGCCTGGGGGCCCGGGAGGACCTGGTAGTCCAACATCTCCAATTTCTCCATGGCGGCCAGGGTGTCCTGGGTCCCCTGGAGGACCTGACAATGGCAACAACAGATGTAATAAGACAAATGTTCTCACCCATCTTGAAACTCAGGAGTCTGTGAGACTTGGTCACGTCCAAGTAGGAGACATTTTTGCAGTTTCTTGACACATTTTAAATGGGACACATCAAGTTGAGTCCTCTCTAGCAGTCTCTCCTCTGCAGACACATAGGACTTAAACAGAGTTCTCTGGCATTGATTTAGGTTTCTCCTTTCACAGGCATCTTGTAGATGTTAGTCAAATGACCTCATGCATTTTTTCAACAGTTAAAGAAAAACTATCTTCTGAAAGTTTAAATAATAAAAAACCCACCACATATTTACATTATGAAATAAAATTTGACATCTTATGCCAGTGGGACCTGAACCAGGGTGTAAAGTTTTCCCTGCACATTGGAATGTCCCATTGTCACAGTAACTGTTATGGCTTGAAGCTGTAATGTCCCTCGTGACTTTGAACACTCCAGTGCCAGTTGGTGTCACTGGTTTTGGAGGTTGTATAGTCTTGAAGAGGTAAGGCCAAGATGGTGGAAGTAAGACAATAGGGAAGTGTCTGTACTCAGGCATCTGACCTGGCCTGCCCTTGGGGTTCTGACAGGACACGCCCTCAGCTGCTGCCACTAAGAGCACCACCTGTGCCTATTCACTATGTACCCTTTTAAAAGGGCCCTGCCCACCTCCCATCCATCTCTCTCGCTTCCTTTCTCTCCTTCTCTATCTGTCCCCCCCTCCCTGTGCCTGTCTTTCCTCTCTCCCACTGCTCCTGTCCCTGGAGGCCAGTCTCCCCTCTCCACTTTCCCCCTTTTATGATTCTTTTCTCCTAATAAAAACACCCCTCTGCTTGAACTCTGTCTCATGGTGTCTTTCTCCCTCGAGCTGCTTTTTATAATTATAATAGGAAGGAAGTTTGAAAGTTGTACACAACCTGTGCCTGGTTCCAGTTAGTATCTGCTAGCTTCCCAGTATGGTTGTCCCATGCAAACCTCTGCCAAATCTGCCTCACCCCATAGTTTATGGACCACACCATCCCTAGCATCCTGAAACCCTGACCCCAAATAAACCCCTCCTCGCTCACATTTCTCTCCGGTATTTTGTCACAGCAATGAGAAAAGTAACTGAATATGAATATCCACGCTCTAATCTTTCTTGCTGTGCATGCTATAGGAATACTGGACCCATCTAGTCCATTTCTGTATAAATTATGCAAGAATTAAATTGAACTCAAACCTTTGAGTGGAGGAGAGGGAGTAACTGAAAGGCCTGGTGGTCCTGGGTAGCCACGATCTCCAGGATCTCCCTGAAAGAATCCATTCATTTACTTTTCTTGGAAATAACAATGCGTCCTAGCATTTAGCAAAGGTTAGAAGGCCCTGGGCACATTCATCAGGGAAGTAAAGACCATTGACTGACTAGAGAAGTGAGTAAGCCAAGGCTTTCAGGAAGAACTAACAGACATCTGGCTTCTCACCTACACTCAGGAGACAATGAATGGACAAAGCTATAACAAAAGAAAAAAGATTAAGTGTAGCAAAATTCCACTGTGTGTCCATAAATTAAATATAATGTAAGTCACTAACTTTCTTAGGTAGACTTTGAATATTAGTATCTAATGGAGCATTCCAGTATAAACAGTTTAGTCACCTAGCAAGACCTGAATTCTCATTTCATTATAGCAGCAAAATGCTGTCTCTCCCTTAATTGTGTCCCCTGATAGTGGCTGGGCTTGCCCTGAACAAGCACTGGATGATTTTACAAAAGAAGTTATAAAACAAAGGAAAAAACATTACAGAGCTACAAAAGCGGATGATCTCCATGCATATGATCTCATGAGAGTTCTGAAACTCTCCTTATTATTCACTTTCGGAAGAATTGCTTCTCAAATGTAAGTGTAACTGTACTTTGTGTACTAATTAATGCCACAATGGTTTGAAAATATACTACTTATACATAATACACATCCTGCATTAAAATGATATTTATAGGATCACACCTGTGTCTTCCAAAAGTTACATTGTTTGACTATGCAAAATATTCTAAAAACTTAAGTTGATAACACAATGATCTAAAATTTTCTCTGACATGGGCTCATGTATTTACCTTTGGACCGAGAAATCCGAACAACCCAGGCTCTCCAGGCGCTCCTTGTTCCCCCTACAAACAACCACAGACACACTTCAAACAGCTGACTGTGTCAGGCTGACATCACCTCATGCCTTCCTAAGGTGAACATTGCATACTCACAGAGTCAGGGCAGTCTTAATCACTATTGGACAATATCAGTTTTGTAACTCAGTTTTTAAAACCAACAACACAATCCTGTAATTCAGTGGTTCTCGACCTTCCTAATGCTGTGACATTTTAATACAGTCCCCCATGTTGTAGTGGCCCCCAACCATAAAATTATTTTTGTTGCTACTTCTTAACTATAATTTTTCTACTGTTATGAATAGGAATATAAATATTTTTGGAAATAGAAGTTCACCAAAGAGATTACAACCCCAGGTTGAGAACTGCTATGTAATTCATAAAATGCAGGTATCTGAGCCAGGTATGTAGCACATGCTTGTAATCCTAGCACTTAACAAGGAAAGGCAATAGGATACGTTGATCAGGGGTTCAAGGCCAGCATCATTTACATGGCTAGTAGTAAGTTCAAGGCCAGTCTGGACTATGTGAAACCCTATCTCAGAAATCCCAAAAAGGGGACTGGACATATGGTGCAGTGGTATGTAGAATGTATTACTCTGCAGAGGGCTGGAGTTGGCTTCCCAACATCCATGTTGGGTGACTCATAACTGCTGATGTCCTCTGGACACTGAAGGCACCTATACTCACATGTACATATAATTGCATATACTTTAAAATTATATAAGTACATATTTAGATATAAGATTTTAAATTATATAAATACATGTTTAGATAAAGTATATAAATACAATGTAAAATATAATATATTCTATAAGATATAAATAATTTCAATATAGAAATAAAATAAAATAAATCTTAAAAAAAACTAAGCCAAAATATGTGGTTCGGAGCAAAATGACTTGGCGAGTTAAAGTTCTTCCCACGAAGCCCAATTTCCAATCTCCAGAACCCATAGAATGGGAAAAGAGAACAGACACCTTCAAATGTCCTCTGAGCTCCATGCACATACAGAGTCATACATATGCACATGCACACACACACAAATAAATGTAAAATAAACTTAAGACTTAAAAGAGCAACAACAAAAATCCATCTGCCTTTCCAATTCCTGTCATTGTTCAAACACAACAATATGACTTAAACACAATTCTTCAGCTCTGCTGGGATGTATACTTGCCTTGACTCCTGGAAAACCTGGAGCTCCATGGGAACCAGGCTCACCCTAATAATTACAGAAAATCAACAAGCAAAATTCAAACATAAGGCATGATGCCTTTATCTTTACCTTGTTGTATTGCTATGTAGTCTTGATATGCAGCAGAATAGTGAAATAACATAAAATGGATTCTATGTACTTATGCCATTTGGCGTTCTACTTGATCTTTATTTAGTCTTGTTCAAAAAATTCACATCATTGCCCTTGTTTAATTAAGAGTATGTGTGCTTTTGCTGTTTCTACTGTTCCAATTTAAATTATTTAGCATAATAATCTACAGTACATTCATTTGCATGGAAATGAATAGCCACTCTGTGCAGCTTCAGCAATAAAAACGACACAAAAGTCAATAACAGACCATTCAGTTCCAACACTAGAGTGATCAAAGCCTCCTGGGATCTGATCTCTGCAGTGATCCCATGGGGTACACCATTCCTGACAGTGTTGTCTAGGAGTTGACAGTGTTTTCCTTTGAGGCACCCTTACACAGACACCTTAATTTATGAAATGCATTTAGTTACCAGAACAGGTACCTATTGCCCTGACACTGAGCCAACAAGATCAACTCCACCCCCCCACCCCCCACCCCCGTGCCCGCCTTGTGCCTTGTCCCCATCCCCCAGCTTTCTAGTGTTGTGCATGTCTGTTGTATCAAAATGACATAAATGACTAGAACACCCCAACTCTTGAGCTACCTCATGGGAATCATGGGAATACAGGCATAGTCTCACAAACATATGAAAACAATGCTACCAAACTTACTGAAGTTTAGGACTAATGATCCTTACCCGGGGTCCTGGGAACCCAGGAATACCTTTCTCTCCTTTTGTCCCAATACCGGGCTCTCCCTTTAAAAGATGACAACAATAGAAGGCTTTAATCAACAACACTTCCTTAATTTGGAAAGCAACAACAAAATAAGAAACAAAAACAAAAGCAATGGCAACAGCTTAGTGACAGCAACTCCTTTACAATGGAGGTTTCTAAAATTATAGTAAGATAATGAAAACTTCTGGTAGTAAATGCTGGCAGTTAAAGTAATGAGAAATCCATATAAAATTAGATGAAAATATTATCTCACATAAATAAATGAAAGGAATTTAAATTACCTTGCGTCCTGGAGGTCCTGGAGGTCCAATCACTCCAGGAATTCCTTTTATACCCTAAAAGGTATGATTGATATAGTGTGATTACATAGGATTCACCAAATTCCATATACTTCATAAATCATTTCTTTTGACAACCTGTTTCTCATTACGCTTTTTTTAACGTAAGGGATCAAATTAACAACTAGACCTAAGTACATTTATATACCTGGTGTTACTTGGATGAGTGTGAGATGCACACGTGGCATGAAGGAGAGCTATGGAACCTGTCTGCAGATGTGAGCTTAGGAGCACAGCTATTGGGAGTGCTGGCCTGTTGTGGTTAAGGTAGGATATTTTGTGCGTATTAAAAAAGAACTACAGAATATGGATCTGGCATTGGGAGTACCTGTGTTGGACAGATGCATTACCTGTGGACAGATGAATTAATGTTTTCCCAAAGCTCTATGCATTTGTTAGCTTTACAGCTATTAAAACACAAAACCCTTTTCTGACCTTGAAAGGACAGCTGGATTCCCGTGAACTATGCTATCAGCAATCAGAGCATGTCCAGTGTTAGGCTCAGCTCAGCAGCTGAGTGGACCCGAGAACACTGTACAGCTCTGAGCCTCAGCGTTTAACCCTGTATAACCAGGTTACAAAGAGCTCCAGCCAACTGAGGCAGCTTTGAGATTCATGTAATGAGGCACAGTAGCCCAGCCCTATACCTGTGAGAGGTTTCCCAATCCTGCTTCACAAGGTGACGTAGGCGGTAAGTGGGGCTTACCTTTTCTCCTTTATAGAGATTCAAATCAGGCGGCTGTACAAACAGGGTAGGCCCAGGAGGACCGTGCAGGCCAACTTCACCCTTTAACATAAAGAAAATAGGAATTTCATTTTATCTCACATTTTGAAGCAAAGAAAACTTCCACTCAGGAACCATGTAATGTTTCCAATCCTGTGAACCCCAGACTTAAAGTAAAAATCATGGAAAATGTATCACGTGATGTAAAATTTTATTTATTATTTCTTGTGAGTATATAACTTAAAACAAATTTTACAAATGAAAATAAAGATGTCCTATAATGTTACTACCTGGAGACAGTCTATTGAAGACATTTGGTGTAGTCTTTTGTTGTGTTATTTATGGCATGCATACAATGTATGCACATACATGCATACATACATGTCTGTTAAATGCAACTTTAGAACTATAATCAAGCTAAATATTATACATCATTACTCCCCGCAGATAAGAGATTAGTTGGGAGAATCACAAATTTGGGGCTATCATGGACTGCATAGTGTGTGTGTGTGTGTGTGTGTGTGTCTGATGGGTGGTATTACTTCATGAAGGATATCATTTCAAGTTTACTGAAAACAGTGTAACTAAGGATCCAGTCTCTGCACAGACCAGAGAGGCACTGAAAACCTCAGAAGTTAGGGATATTGCAAGTTTTTCTTGTATTCTACTAGCTAACAGTGTTGATGTGTTGACTACTACATACATTTTGTAAATAGAGGACTGCAAATACCCAGACAGCACAGGAGTAGGCAATATGTACTGATAAAGACGACCACTCTTGTGCTCATAGTCCAAACACAGCTTATACAGACCAGCAACAACAACAAAAAACCTATAAACAACCAAAAAAAAAAAGCTATAATAGTGTCTTCAAAGCAGGACCGTGCTACTTTTTCATATTATAAAAAGTATCAGCCAGGCGGTGGTGGCGCACGCCTTTAATCCCAGCACTGGGGAGACAGAGGCAGGCAGATCTCTGTGAGTTCAAGGCCGGGCTGGTCCAACAGCCTCCAAAACAATACATAGAAACCCTGTCTCACAAAAACAAAAATAACAAAAACAAAAACAAAAAAGTATCATATAGCTAGCATAGCCAAACGTATTAAAAAAAGCCTGAAGAATAAAAGTTCCACAACCACATCACCCAGTAGCATTCCACAACAAACATGGAGGGTGGTGTTTTCGTTTCTATTATTTTGTTTTTAATTTTTATTTTTAGATAATGTCTCATGTAGCATAACTGGCCTCAAACTTGCCATTCAGCCAAAAAAAAAAAGATGGTTCTGAACTCCTACTCCTATCCCTGCTTCCCCAGTGCTGGGACTACAAGTATATAACATCCTGATCAACTCTTCCCAGAGGAATGTGTGTGTGTGTGTGTGTGTGTGTGTGTGTGTGTGTGTGTGTGTGTGTGTGTGTGTGTGAAGGTTTCACCCTCACAAGGGTCTCCATACACGACAGTGGTGACCTTTGTTATAACTTTTGCAAACTTGTCCTAGTTCTATGACCTGGCCTTTATGTTCACCAGTATACCATGAGCATTTCCGTCATCATGATGTCTTCATACATATTTATGACTCTTGTTAACCAACCACACTGTAACTTAACTACCCTGGAACTGCATGTCAGCAGGGAACGGGTCAGTTTCGTTATGTTAAACCTACCCTGCTGTGGAGTAGACATTCAAGAGCTACTTCTCCTGCGTGGGGAAAGAGCACCCTAACCCTGTTGAACATTCAGAGAAGCTACCACCTAAAGTCACTTTCTTAGAGTACCCTACCCATGAAGCTACTTCCTAGCTCCAGTATTTCATTTTGTCAGAGCTGTCATTTTACAGCTAAGGATAAAGTAAGTTAGTGAAGAGAAGTTACGAGCTACAAAGTTGGACAGTGATTACACAAGGAACACAAATGCTCACAACAGGCTCCATTACTAGAGAAGGCACACATCTTCATGTCTGCTCTTCAGCCCAAGGAATCCTTACCGGCTCTCCTTTTTGCCCTTTTATTCCCACAGCGGGGTTTCCCTGAAAGGGAAAAGAAAATAAATCTAATTGCTTTTTAATTTTAAAAATGCAATTAAAAGCAATTAAGACTTCTGGCGGTGCAGCTCATTAGGGTTTATTTAAATGGCAAGTCTGATGAAAAGGAAGAGGTGATTGAGATGAGTGTCAATGGCCAGTTATTTCACTGAGGGCAGGCTCTGATTATGTATTTCATTCAGAACTTACCTTCAATCCAGGGCTCCCAGGATGACCTATAGGTCCCTAAATCAATGGGAAAAAATATTATCAGTCATAGTCATCAGAATGGCTTTCTTGCTTACCCCAAGTTTCAATTAGGAAACACCTTTGATTTTAAAGTTGTTCATGCCACTGCTTTCATTCTTATGAGAAAGATAAAAATTTGATCTCATGTACGTAAGAAAAAAAAGGCTTGAGTTCTGGTGGTCTACAGCACAGTGAAGTGACAGTCAACAGTCATTTATTACACATCACAAAATGTCTGACAAAGATTTTTAATACATCCAGTAAAAAGAAATAATGAATGTTACAGGTGATGGATGTGCTAACTATCCTGATTTGATCACTGCACATTAAATGCATGTATCCAAATATCATGTTGTACTTCATGAATACATAAACTTGTTTGTGTGTGTGTGTGTGTGTGTAAGTGTGTTTGTCCTCATGTGTGTGTAGTGCACGTGTGTAGTGCATGTGGAGACCAGGATCCATCTCAAATGTCATATCTTATTTCTAGAGACAGTGCCTCCCACTGAAATCTGGGGTTTACTAATTAGGCTGGGCCAACTAGTCAGGGAGCCCCAGAGTTCCACCTATATCCATCTCCCTAGCACTGGGATTAGAAACATGTGCTACCTTTATGTCAAGAGTCAAGAAGCATGCTTGACTCTTTATGTGAGTTGTGGGGTAGAACTCAAGTCCTCATGCTCATGTGGAAAACCATCTCCCTATCCCGTGTGCACAACTATGTGTCATTTAAAAACGAAAATGACAAGCCTAGTGTGCTGGTGAACACCTTGTATCCCAAGCACTCCAAAAGAGGCAGGCAGATTTCTGATTTTAAGTCCAGCCTGTTCTACAAAATGAGTTCCAAGAGATTCAGGGTGTTACTCAGAGAAACCCTGTTTTGAAAAAACAAAGGAGTGTGTGTGTGTGTGTGTGTGTGTGTGTGTGTGTGAGAGAGAGAGAGAGAGAGAGAGAGAGAGAGAGAGAGAGAGAGAGAGAGAGAGGACTTTTGAATAGGCTCTTTTTCTGTGTAAAGTGTGGCTTCTGATCTTCTGATGGGGACCTGTGCATTAAGATGGGTTCCTACCAATAAGGGTGGTTCATCAGCCTGATTCACGAATTGATCTTTGTTCTCATCATTGCAGAGCGATACTTACTGCTGGCCCTGGTGCACCAGCATACCCCATGGGCCCTGTTGATCCTTGTGCACCCCTGGATCCCTAGAGAGAGAGAATGATCAGCACATTTACTGTGAAAACCATAGTTATCTTTCACAGAAAGGATGGCATGTAAGCCCAAACAGATATAAACCTGCAAAGTTATCACCTCCTCCACACACACACATACACATACACATATGCTCAGTGATAGCATCTTTAGCAGAGATAGGAACAGCATTCCAGTAAGGGTGATTCACTCTACTGTAGGGTTCCCTTCAGGTCAAGAGAACAATTGACATCTTAGAAACAAATCTTGTAATAATAAAAGTCAGAGACAAAAGAGCTTCATTAGCTCTTCCTAATTCCAATACAACTTTACACACATCAAGATGTCTCCTCATATTGTCTTGGGTAGCATTCGTATTTGTTTTTTTAGCTTATACCTATAAATATTTGCCTATGTGCCATGTGCCTACAGAGGCCAGAAGAGGGATCCCCTAGAGCAGTGGTTCTCAGCCTTCCTATTGCTGTGTCCCTTTAACACAGTTCCTCATGTTGTAGGGACCCCCAACATAAAATTACTTTCATTGCTACTTCATACCTGTAATTTTGCAACTGTTATGAATTATAATGTAGATATCTGGTATGCAGGATAACTGATATGCTACCTCCAAAGGGATAGAGACTCACAGGTTGAGAATCAGTGCCCTAGACCTAGAGTTACAGAGACTTGAGAGACTCCATGTGGGTGCTGGGAACCAAGACCAGGTCCTCTGCAAGAGCAGGCAGAGGACCTGGTCTTGGTTCCCATGAAATCTCTCATGCCACATATTTAAATATTAATCTATCTATATTTTTAAAATACTCTTGAAATGTGATCTAGAAAACCAAATGAGCAGAAACACTGTCCCCAGCTTAGGAGCGAGATGGTGCAGACACAAGCAATTTTCTGTGTCATGTAAGTTGCCAGCATCATGGCTTCCACACTGGTAGATGGCAGGGATGGCTGAGCAGGCCCCTGCTCTAGAGCTCACACCAAGTGAATTAAGAGTGTGAAGGTCTGCACTCTTAAGGAGATTGAACTGGCATTTATCTTAACAGTGACATCAAAAGCATCTCGTTTGCTAAATGGAATCGAGCTTCTGCAGTCAGGGAACCAACCGCCTGGGAATGCAATTTTGTGGCTCACTAGAGGCCACAAAGCGGAGTTACAGGTTAGTCACTGAGAGGTAAAACTGCTTTCAGTTTCAATCTTGTAGACAGTGGTAAACTGGAAAGGCATTATAATACGATCATTGAATTACAAACTATGGGGAGATGAAAGCTGGGCAAAATAGCAATAAACAGTTACTAATTTAGCAGAAAAGTATGTTACATAAGTGGAACAAATTCCATTTGCTATATTTATGTAGGAGGCTGTGTGTGTGTGTGTGTGTGTGTGCATTTCTAAAAGTTAGTATCCTAAAGATCAATAAATGCCTATCAATGTGAAATGATCATGACCAGACAAGAGGGTGTTAAAAGGCAGCTTTTTGAAGTTCAGTGACTACTTTCTGATGGGTGAACTGGGGCATCACCCATGGATTCACACCCCATCAGTACTAGGAGATCCTTAATTGTGACAAGGGATCACAGTTTTTATTCTATACTATGTTGGCCCCACACGTTTTGTGGCTCATCCTACTGGACTTGAAATCTAAAGAGCTATTTGAAGAGAAGATAGATAAATGCCTATGGTCTTCTTGGGAGACTTACTGGTAAGCCGGGCAGCCCTTGGTCCCCGCGGTCTCCCTGCAATGACAACATTATACTGTTTCACAAGAGGACAGTTATCTAGGACACAGATGACTCAGAAAGAGAAGTGGAGCAAGGATGGTACACGAGCCAGATGGGCAGCATAGTCACTTTGTCAGTATTGAGAAAACAACAACAGAAAGACACCATAGAGCAGATTTCCTTCATTTTTTTTCTCCTTCTATCTAATGGAGAGCAGTGTAGGGTGAAAAGGGTCAAGGAAAAACACCCTGACCTTGACTTGACCCTAAGATCAGGACTTGAAATCCCACCAATCCCTGAGCTTGCACCAGAGTCAGGCTGCAGAATCCCACCAACCCCTGAGCACAGAATCCCACCAATCCCCAACACAGAATTCCACCAATCCCTGAGGTCCCTGAGCATAGAATCCCACAAATCCCTGACCATGCCCCAGAATCAGGCTATAAAAACCCACCAATCCCTAGACACCCTGGAAAACTCTGCCCCACCCCTAAGAAACCCTATATAAGCTCTGTATCCTGTTTGCTTTGCTGCTACTTCTCACCCTAGAGGCAGCCACCCTCCTGGACTTTTCCTTCCCAATAAATCTCTTGAGTGAGGTTTGCTGTGTGTGTAAGATTTTCTCAGGAGTAGAGCTGTAACAACTTTCACAGGAACTGGAGCAGTGCTGAGTGGAGCAGAGCTGTAACTCTTTTGCTGGGGAAACTGTTCCCTAGCAGAGCAAAGCCATTAATTATACTTGAATTGGTGAAACCTTTCCCTGGAACAGAACTGTAGGCTGCTACACTGTTGTTCGTAGTATTCCTTGGCTTGACTGCTAGGATACCTTTCCATCTGAGCTGCGATGCTTACAGTCAAGATAGCATAGAAGAGGGGTGTGGGTTGTCCTTCTGCTCATCTTACTTAGCATCTTGATCTTAAAGTCCTGTTTCCTCACAATACACCTATCTCTGGTCTAGTGGCTGTATGGGGCCTTGCTGTAGAACAATGGTTCTCAACCTGTGGCTTGCACATCAGATATTTACCTTACTGTTCATAATAGTAAAATTGCAGTTATGAAACAGCAATGAAAATAATTTTGTGGTTGAGGGTCACCATAACATGAAGAACTGTATTAAAGGGTTGCAGCCTTGGGAAGGTTGAGAACCACTGCTCTAGAGTGACAGGAAGGGACCAAGGGGAGAGTCCCTCATTGCTGCAGCATCCAGATCTAACACTAGACTTTGTGCTGAGATTGATTGCTTTGCATGATGACCAGAGTGTACAAATGTTCCTAGAACGGGGTCTTTCTGAACTCAAGTTATACTTAAAGTACAATTTCAGATTTTACCCATATTTAGGTCTAGTTACTTTTGTGGTGTTAGTTTCGTATTCCTGTTCAACCAAGGCCACTTCAGGGTTCTCAGAGCCCTGCGATTCTCAGGTCAATCCTCAACAGTGACTACGTGGCCCAAATAACAAAAGTGATGAACCTAGGGAACTCTGAAATGAATATGTCCTTATAATTCCAAATGTGTAGGCAGCAAGGACAGCCATAGAGGCTAACGCCTTCATACAAGTGGAGCTGAGTCAAATATACAGTACATTCAATAACACTTTGTAAGAAATCCCAGCCCATGTGTTTCCTATTGGGAAAATGGCTTTGTTAAACCCATGGTAGCTATAAAACTCACCTGAACACCTTTAACGCCACCTGAAATGAACACTGACCTTCCTTTTTCTCCATTTTGCCCCGGGTGACCCTGAAAAGCAGAGATTCACTTAGGAAACAAATGTATTGCTGTTCCAATATTTTCTTTTCTATATGAAACACTAGTTACCAATAAAAAGCACTGAAGCCATCTCACTGGGGTAGGTTTATCTTCTTCCTGGTTTTACTGTTATAAGGTTCACATATACATGTCTCAGGCCTTCAGTTAGGGTCTGTGAAGGCCATCCCTAAGGAAGACTCCTCACCAATGGATAGTTACTAATTATGAGACAGAAAGACTGCATTGTTCCCATAAAACAGTACAAGGACATATTCTTAAAAATAAATAATTTTAATTTATGTCCCAGAAACACTTTTTAAGAGCATTTACTTGACCCATTTCAGTATTTGTTTTCAAAATAGAGTTTTTAAGACCTTTAAAGACTAGTTTTCAAAATAGACAGCATCTTCCATTTTATGATGCTGCTAGCTTGCTTAGAGAATTCTGTTTGGTTGGTTGGCTGGTTGGCTGGTTGGTTGGTTGGTTGGCTGTCTGTCTGTCTGTCTGGTTGGTTGGTTGCTTGGTTGGTTGGTAGGTTGGCTGGTTGGCTGGTTGGTTGGTTGGCTGTCTGGCTGACTGGCTGTCTGGCTGGTTGGTTGTCTGATTGGTTGATTAGTTGACTGGTTGGTTGATTAGTTGACTGGTTTACTGGTTGGTTGGTTGGTTGGTTGGTTGGTTAGTTGGATGGTTGGTTGGTTGGCTTGTTGTTTGGTTGGCTGGCTGGCTTTTGAGACAAGGTGTCACTCTGTAGCTGAGTTCCTATCAGAAACTCAGAGATCTGCCTGCTTTAACCTCCCAAGTGCTGGGATTAAAGGACTGTGCCACTACATCCAGCTGTTTAGAGCATTTTAAACAATAAATGAAATAGCTCAATGAATTCCATTCTACTTTTCCTATATAACAACTGAAAATTCCAGTTAATATCTTATATGCATGAGCTTGATTGTCACTCAGAATGTCTGCCTTCTTCATATTATCAAGTTCTGTAAAGGAGTGTAACTTTCCATGTTGATCCTGACACAAGACTCCCTGAGTTTGTTTCCAGTGGGAGACCCTCAATGACTTTCTGCTTAGTCACATCAACTGCTCCCTTGAGGAATTAGTTTTGTCTTTGCAGGCAGTCGTGACTTCCTACAGTTCCAGTCTGCATGAATTTCAGTTCCAGATTGAGTTAAGTCAGTTATGGTAATGGAAATAGATTGAATAGCTGCACACAGACTAGAGTTAAAACTTGGAGGCAGAACGCTTGTCTGGCGAACCCAAGGTCCTGGGTTTGATCCCCAGATTAAAACAACTTCACTGTATTGCTAGCTCCTTGGTCCACAAGTCACGACATGAATAACAGACTGGTCATGATTAGTGATGATGATGTCATATGTGTCACAGCTTGTTGCGATTGGTCACATAAGCATACCATGATTGATCACTGCAAATCTTTCTCCATTTCCCATTTCTTTTTATTTTAATGTATTACTAGCATATACTAATTATGTCTAATAAGGGGTTTCATTATGATATTTTCAAACATGTATCTCATTCATAGTCACCCTATTATTCTCTGTTGTCCCCTCCCACTTTGGTTGATTCCCTCTTCCCAATTTATGTCCCTTCTACTTTAGTGTCTTTTTTTGTGACCCAGTGAGTCACATTTAGTTTATCTAGAGAAACATGGGTGGGAGTTTGTCTATAGGAACGAGACTGTAAGTCTTTTATTTATACATACATACACACACAACACAGAGAGAGAGAGAGAGAGAGAGAGAGAGAAAATACAGCACAGCAAAACACATAGATATGTTGCTTCCTTAGATCTCAGAGAAACCCAAGTGACATTTTACAAAAACAGCTACATGAGAGAGGGAATTAGTCTTCCAAGACTAAAGGGAAACAAACACAAGAGAAGCATTATCCAGTGAAACTCAGAGTGTAACAGAAGCATTATCCAGTGAAACTCAGAGTGTAACAGAAACATTATCCAGTGAAACTCAGAGTGTAAGTGGAGTTGGAGAAACATGCCTGCCAGAGCATAGACCACAGTGACTGATGCAAAGACAGTGACTCAGACATCAACCTCACATGGAAGAAACTTAGGGAGCTATTTCTCAATGATGAAAACCGACCCACACATAGAAAGAGTGTGATGTTTTGTCACAACATGGGAAAAAGGTTAATTTGGTACCATATATTATATGACATGAGAAAGGAAGGCACTGTTGGGAACAAACTGGAAAATGCTTTACAGAACTGGATACTTTGACTCTCAATGTTTAAAATTACAAGTACTACATAAATATTAATTCTATTTTTCATTTCTCCATGTATTTATGTGACAGTAAGAGAATGCCTAATGGTTTAATGACACACTTTAAAGGTCACAAGGCGATAGTCTCTTTTCCCAACAGTGGCTGAGGTTGCTTTGGGTAGCTTTGGCATTCGTGGACAGTTTTGCTTTATGGGTAGGGTGGTCAGAAGAAACAAAGGAAACACTGAAAGAACACTGCTTGACAAAGGAACTGTGGTGACATTCCAACACTGTGATCAGTACTGCTGGGTATGGAAAAGCTACCCCTGAGAGTTCCTGCTCCCTGAAATACCTGATTCAGTGGGATGAGGTCTGGCCCAGCTGGGAGAGCTTGGGATGTGCACGTTCATCTCACTGCATTGTCAAGTGGCTGAGACTAGAGCAGAGTGCTTGACTGGGAACTTTGACACCCAAGATGATTTTTATATGATACAAAGAAAGCTGCCAGCCTGGAATTCATTCTGAGTTACATATATATTTAAATACAAATTTACCCTGAATGGTGGGAGTGTAAGTTTTGGTAAAATACCTCCCTCTCCTTTAAACTATTCAGTGTTTGTGCAGGAACTAGAAATACCTTAATGAAACCAGTTAGATCACAACCTTTCCACAGCCTATGAAGCCCCTACACATTCTGGCTCCACTCACCTTGTCATGCCCCTCCCCAATCACCCAGTTTTGTGAACTATACTGCAGGCATTGACCCCTATTCCCTAACATGCCAAGCTGGTTCCTGCTACAGTCTTTTTAAGTAGGATCACTCTAGGCTGTGCTAATGGTGTCTTACAGGGGGGCCTCCTGGACCAGGAGCTCCTCTTTCTCCTGGAAATCCCGGATCACCTCTTGAGCCACTGAAACCATCCAATCCAGGTTTGCCTCTGGGCCCCGGGGGCCCTGGGTGCCCCTGTGGAGGACAAAACGGTTAGTGAAATATTTAGGCAAGAAAACACTAACACAAAAGCCCTGTGAAATGAACCCCCAACTACTTGTTCTACTCAGTGAGGCTTCCTAAAAGTGCTAGATACTGAAATTACAATTTTAAAATACGCTATATCCATGGTAAGTTAATCTAGCCTGAGTTATTCTCTTGTTTTGGAGGAAACCTTCCTTGAAATCCCGAGACTCCACTGCATTGTAAAGTTCCCCAAGTCCCACTTTCTTCTCCCACCAGGCTTCCGTACTGTATGATCCTCAGTGCCATTTGCAAAGCTGGGACACAACAGAAAATGAGGCTTCTGTCATGGGTACACGTTTCATTCCACAGCACTGAGCAAGACACGGCAGGTATATTTAGCATCTATTCTGGATTTGTTTTTTTCCTTAATGTCTTTGAAGTGTGTGCTCTTTACGTAACATGTTTTAGTTTGAAAATTATTGCACACAATTGAAGACTAAGAAGTCTTTAAAGAACTAACCACACATCTTTTTTGAGTATATGTTTTTCGGGGATTTTTGGTTTTTTTTTTTTGTTTTGTGTTGTTTTTTGTTTTTCTCTTCTTTAAGATAGGTTCTCATTATGTAAACCAGGATTGCCTCAAACTCATAATCCTCCTACCTCAACCTCCCAAGCACTCAAATGACACATGCCCCACCACACTCTGCTTCACTTTAATGGTACAATGACTGTAATGGTACAATGACTGTTTTTACTTCTTTCTTAAGACAATGGAGAAAAACGCAGAGACACTCACAGGTACGCCCTCCAAACCTGGAAATCCAGGGACACCAGTTGGACCCTATATCAAAATATGAGACAAAGATGTGAAGGTGACTAGATTATTACATTGGCAAGTATGCATACTTGAAATGATGAAGAGTTATTGATTCCAAATTAAAAAGCCTTAGCAGCCATTGCCACTTGTTTTTACATTGATTGGTGTAGAACTCAACATGTAAGAGGCATCGTTTCACACTCTGTTCTGTCGACCTAGGAAGGCAATTTGGCAGAACCAAGCCAAACAAATACTCACCATGCTGTCACACTCCAGCCCCCAGAATCCTTTCCCAGGACAAGCAACTCTTAAAGTGAACAGTAGCAATTGATGGGTTCACGTCCCTGCCCTGGCTCTATACTGAGTTGCCAAAGAACTTTATATTTTCATCAACAGGAAATAAGTTATGGTTTTACACACAGGATGACATATTCCTTGGTATTCTTCAAGAAATAAATGTGGGTTAAGAAATTAACATAGGGTGATCTCTGAGCCATATCGTTGACTAGGTAATGAAAGGTTCATCTTGGCACCCATAACGCTTTGTTTAGGTTGTTCAGAAAGCAGATGAATGATACCAGTTCTCTGTGTGCCCGTTTACAGATTGGAGAAGTGTTCTAGAAGGGCTTGCTCCTAGGGAGAAGGGCTGAGAAAAAGACAGCCTACCACAGAGACCTGTGTCTTGGTTTTTGACCAGGTGCGGATATGTAGTGCTGTAAAGAGGTGGGCGAAACAACGTGTCCTTTAATGAGATAATACACTTTTCCTTCCCAGAATCCCCACCTACAGTGCAGCAGCTGACCAGGCACGCAGCATCACAAAGCTGCCCACTGTCTTAAGTTATTTAGAAGAGCGTGAATTTGGCTTTCTGGGGTTCCCCTCGCTCAGAAAGCTACCCCTAACACTTTGGGCTTTCCCCCGTGTTTTAGGCTTCCTTACTCTTTTTATGAAGTTCTCCCGATTGTCACGTGACTGCTTGTCTGTCTGTCGTGTGTCTCACCTCCATGCTCCAGGCCTCTATGCCTCCATGCCAGCTTAGACTGTGTAGGTTTTTTTTCCCCTACTCTCCTCTAGTCTCCTCCTTCACTTGCCTATCCAGGAGTTTTCTTTTAAATACTAATAAGATTTTCCTTGGACTTTTAAACAAAAAAAACAAACCCTGAGTAGTGGAAACTGATGTTAACTGACTCACCTTGTCTCCTTTCTCTCCTGCTGCTCCAGGCAGGCCACTGTCACCTCTCAGTCCTTTCTCTCCTGGAATCCCAATGGGTCCTGGTGGTCCCAAGGGCCCTATTGGTCCCTGTGGTCCCAGTGGTCCTGGTTGACCCTGAAATGGAAAGGAGAGCAACAAAAGAGTGATATTTGCTCATGTGGGCACTTCCCTGTGAATATAGAAAAATCGCAACACTAGAATTGAGCAAATTCTAACAGACGCGCAAATGACTGACTAACATAAGTAGAAGCTATTGCATCGCCTTTTCAGGCTGATTTTAAGCTCTGTAATAAACTTGTATTATTGTGTGCATATATAAATGTGTTCAATTTCCAGCAACCATATGGTAGCTCACAACTACCTACAATGAGATCTGATGCTCACTTCTGGTGTGCAGGCATACTTGTAGGCAGAACACTGTGTACCTGATAAATAAAGTATTTTAAAACCATAATTTTGATATGCAGAAATTCAAGTTTGTTTATTTCTTTGTACAATAATTATGGCAACAAAAGAGGCTATTTGGATGGACTCAGAAATACAGAATCAGCTTGTCCAAATGACAATGTCTTCACATTCTGTCCATGTCTAGAATTGGATGTGGGTAGAAAGTGTATTCGACTCAATTGTTAAGTTTAATAACTTGCTTTGTTGTCTTGGGCTACAATTCTAACAGTAGACGGAGAGAAGTTTGCTATGAGCTGTTAAGTAATACGGCTGTCCCTAAGGCAGGGAGGTCTGTCACACACTGTAGTGGCAAATGTGCTCAGCTGATGGGGGATGTCCTTCTGTATGCTGTGAATATATGTTTATCTTATTGGTTGATTAATAAAGCTATTTCAGCCCATGGACAGGCAGGAAGTATGGATGCGGCTGCTAAACTAGGAGAATTCTGGGAAGAGGAATGCAGAAAGTGAGTTGCCAAGGAGATGCCATGTAGCTACCCACAAGGAAGAACACCTGGGCATTCTCCAAAAAGCCAAGACCATGTGGAGATACACAGATTAATAGAAATGGGTTAATAATTAAGAGAGAGCTAGCCTATAAGAAGCCTGAGCCATCAGTCAAACAGTTTATAATTAACATAAGCCTCTGTGTGTTTATTTGGAACTAAATGGCTCTGGGACCAGGCAGGACAGAAACTTCCATCTTGTTTTCCCAGCATATTTCAGCATGTGTTATGTCTCATTAGAGTTTGGAAACATCTCTCAAAGTCATTCAAAGTTGGTCTGTGAGTTTCTGTGACTCTACAAATTTTCCAAAATCCTTTAAGAAAAATATACTTTTTGCCTGGCAGTGTTAGTGCAGGCACACCTTTAATCCCAGCATTCGGGAGGCAGAGGCAGGCAGAACTCTGTAAGTTCGAGGCCAGTCTGATCTACAAAGCTACACAGAGAAATCCTGTCTTGAAAAATCAATAAAGAAAAAAAGAAAGAAAAGAAAAAAGAAAAAGATAGTTTATAACCTCTTGCCTCAAACAATACTCATAATTGCATCTTTTAAAAATGAGTTTTTAAATTGTTTCAGTGCATTGTGTGTGTGTACACACATACAGTATCACAGTATGGAATACCCTGAAAACAGGAAAGACAAGCAGCCAGAAAGGTAGCAGGGGTAAAAGAGCAAGAGAGTGAAGGTAAGAACGGAGCCCAGGAAGAAAGGAAACCAAGTCAGTCCTCTCCATGGACAGCTAGAGGAGCCCTTGACAGGAAGACCTGGGTCTGAGAAAGACAGAGCAGTCCCCTCTGAGGCTGGGATGTTAACATAAAAATGCATATGTGGACAGCTAAACTCCCCTGAGCAAATGTGAGTCTGCAGTGAGGGTCTGAGGAGAATGGGGCGAGTTGACAGCATTTGGAAACAGCCATTAGAGAAAACCACAAAGACCATCCTGGAAGACAACGACAGAGGGCCCAGGCTCGAGGTTCACTGTGGCATTTATGGACTGCATCTGGAGCCTCTCCCATGCTCAACATCTTCATCTGACAAGAGCTCAGGGTCATAAAAAAAAAAGAATAAAACCAGTAGAGCTGTTTTAGAGAGTACCTGTCTGGTAAATGTTAATCACTGTTATTATGAACTATTATGACAAATGTGTAAATGACAAAAAGAAGCCCCAGAAAAGTGTATCATGAGCTCCAACCCTCAAGAACCAGGACAGAGCCTTTTGCTGACTGTATATTTACAAATGAAGGCTTCCAGAATGGTGTGCAAGCGACGGCGGGAGGGAAGACACAGCCAGGACAACTTCACATCCCCTTCTTTGTGCATCTTATAATCAGCCACTGTGGCCCTTGTAATAAAGGCACATTGCCATTTCTGTGTCACCACTAAGTCACTGACTCCACAGGCAATCTTTAACATCTATCCAGACTGTGCAAATCAAAATTGTACTTTATATGTCTTTTCCTTTTTCTTCATGCTTGTCTATCCTCAGCATAATGGCTACAGTTAATTGCGAGTTCTAAAAGATTGAGCTTTTTAAAGAATTCTGATATATACGTGTGTGTTACAAGATAGCGACACCAAAGCAGCGCTGAGACCTTGACAACATGGGGAAAGTAGATCAATGTGCAATGGACAGCAAGAGCATTTTAGACCACAACCTAAAAGGAACAATGATGACTTCAGATGACTTGCTTACCTATGTTGATACATTTAAAAGTTCCCTTGTTTTCTAAATACGAAAGTCAGAAAACGACTACTATTGTTTTCTTTTTCTTTGTTTTTTGTTTTGTTTTATGAGACAGTGTTTCTCTGTGAAATAATCCTGGGTGTCCTGGAACCCACTCTGTAGACCAGGCTAGCCTCGAACTCACAGAGATCTGTCTGCCTCTGCCTCCCAAGTGGTAGGATTAAAGGGTACACCATCATGTCTGGCTACAACTGCTATTTTATTAAGTCTGGAATTCTCTTTTCATCGTGCAAGTAATTTGTACATCAACTCCCTAAGTTGTCTTCTGTGAATACAGTACTTTACAAGAATGTGTTATTTGGAGACAGCACGATGAACTCTCAAATATAAAAGGGAAACTAAGAAAGAGACAGCCAATTAACTGGTCATAAATCTCTTTAATGCATTTCATTTCAGACATGCAATCCTGAATCCAGTAAGCTAATGGAACTTTTCAGAGAAAGGGGGAATGGAAATGTTTAACACAGTGGTAAGACTGATAGAATTCCATTTAGTACACTGTGGAAATGGGTCCTGATGAGAGAAGGAACCATAAACATACTTTAAAAACAAACAGCAGAGCAGAAATGAGCTGTATTGTTAAAGGAAACCAAACCTTCCTTCAGTTCCCCTCCCCCAACCCCTGCCCTTGACATGCATAGCAACTTCTGCCATGTCTGTAAGTTCTTGACTTCAGAGCTCTGAGTATGCTCACAAGTCACCCTGACATACACACCTTCCCACCCGGACTGACAGTCTGTCCTGACTCACCAGGGCCCTCCCTTCCCGCCCTTGGTTGGCAGTCCCTCTAAGTTCCCATGGAAAGAACTCTTCACCCTGACTTACTGCCTTTGTGCTGGAGAATAAGATACCTCAGCAAGATGCCAAAAGAACACTTTTCCCCTATTTACACCCCTTTTCACTTGCGCCCTCCCCCGAACCCTACACTCACTGAATCACGAGCTCCAGGAAGACAGTACAAAGGCTCCCACGGCCATGCTGGCGGGAAGGATGTCTTGGTCAACCTTTATTACTATAATGAAACAACCCAGAGGCAGACTGATTGATTACAAAGAAAAGAGCTGGGCTGAGGATATAGATCAGTGGTAGAGGACATACCCAGTATGCATGAGGACGTAGGCCCAATTCTCAGTATCACAAATAATACTAATACTAATAATGATAATAATAATTGTTATTCTTATTAATTAATGACAGAAAAGAAATGCATTTGGGTTTGTAGTTCTGGAAGTACATACAGGGTATATAAATGAGGTACACGCTCTGGCCACAGGGCAGGAAGCTATACCACATAGTGCTGGAAGAAAGAGTGTGTGTGCTGGGGTAGGAAGGTGTAGTTTCTCCCCATCCTTGTAAGGCCACCTGATTCAATCATGGGGGTCCACTCTGATACTGTATTCACTTCCACAGAGGCCCCACCTCTAAGCATTATGGCAATAATATGTTTCTTGATACCATTTAATACCCCTTAATGCCACTAGCACATGACTTTGAGGACTGAGCCCCTGTTTGGAGGAAACAAAACACTCTCAAACCGTAACTGCAGAGAACAATTAATGCTTCTCAAAATAAGCAGAACCCTGCCCCACCTCAAGGAAAGACAGGTGCAAAGGATCCCTTAAAGCCCCAAAGTACAGTTCCTGGAACAATGGCTTGTAGGTCGTCTGTAAAATGCTAAGCTCCAGGAGAACAGTCCCTGCCCCTCACCAGGTGCAACACAATAGACCCTGTACCTCACCAGGGCAGCACAATAGAGCAAATCCGGTTAGCTCAGGTGTGAGTGAGGCAGGCCAGAAGCTGTGAGTTTGGGAGAGCTCTTCCTATTGCTCAAGTGTCATGTGAAGGTGGCATGGATTGTGGCAGGTGGGGGAGCTAGCCCTGTGGGAGAACGATCCCTGAATCCCACCAACTGCAACTGCAGGCCCTACATCTCCCCAGGGGAGCACAACAGAGCCAAGCTTGTTAATGAAGGTGTGGGTGAGCCAGCCCGGAAATTGTGAGCATGAGATAGCTGTCCCCATTATCTATCTGTCTTGTGACAGCATGGGCAGGGGAGAGGTGACACCCACCCCACCCCCACCCCACACACCCATCAACTCTGGGGCATAAGAGCAGGAGAGCCAACCCTGTTAGTGCAGTTGTGGATGAGCAAGCCCCAAATTTATAAGCATGGGAGAGCTTCCCCCATTTCATGTCTAGTAGACCAACCCTACAGCTGCCCAGGTCCAGACCCAGTGATGTGACTTGGCCGCCTCATCATCCACCCATCTATGATCTGCTGGAGCACGAGAAGGGACCTGACCTGCAAGCCCAAAGCTGCAGGATCTCCACAACACAAGGCCACAACAGGATGTCCAAGAAGAGTCCCAGTGAAGGCCCAGAATCAGCATCGATAGTGTAGTAGAAACCAGAGACCTCG